ATTGTGTTATATGTTCCCTATCGAAACATATTCGGACCAGTTATATTCCTCGCATGCACCAGTCACCCAAGCCATTTGACCTAATACACTTTGATATTTGGGGGACCCTCTCCTGTTACTGCTCTGTCAGGTGCTCGATACTATGTGACATTTATAGATGATCATACCCGTTGTACTTGGGTTTACCTTTTGCATAGGAAATCTGATGTACTCCCTGTCATCACTCAATATCTCCAAATGATTAAGACACAATTCGATGTCATTGTTCGTGCTCTTCGTTCGGATAATGGCAAAAAATATGTGTCCGATGCCTTAGTGTCTCACCTTTCTTCTCAGGGTATCCTTCAGCAACTCACTTGTCCATATATTTCTGAGCAAAATAGAGTTGCTGAAAGAAAAAATAGGAGTCTAATAGGGATGGTACGTTGTATGCTTAGAGATATGGGAGTACCAAAATCTTATTGACATTTTGCTATTTTGACTTCTACCTTTCTATATAATCGTACACCGAGTCGTGTTCTTCAGTATAGGGCTCCCTTACAAATCTTATTTCCTAAGAGGACACTTTTTTCGATCTCCCCTCGTATTTTTGACTGTACATGTTTTGTTCAAGATTAGTCTCCTACTCGCCATAAGCTTGATGATAAAGCGATTTGTTATATCTTTGTGGGCTATTGTCATCAATCTAAGGGATATCGGTGTTATAATCCTATCAGGCGCCGTATGTCTAATAGTCTAGATGTTTCCTTTCTTGAGCACATTCCTTATTTTTCTTTCACTCCTGTGTCTGCTCCTCTAGTTGATGATACTCTCTTTGATTTTTCGTTACCATAGGAGTCAGAGCCATTGGTCACTATTACTACATAAGCATCAGTCTCTCCTTCACCAGAGCCACTCGTCTCTGTCAGTACAGAGTCCCCATTCTCTCTTCCTTTGCAGGTTTATGTTCGTCGCCCTCGCTCTCATCCCTCTGCTGATGTCCCCTCTACCTCAGGCGATGCAGGTAATACTTCTCAGTTAGCTGAGCATAGTTATGCACCTGTTATTAGTACTAATGAGATTACAAGTACTGAACCAATTATTTTCCCTGATGAGACATTGTCAGTGGAGGATAATGATTTAGGGTGTCGTTATCCGCAGTGTGATCGTCGTCCAGTTGTCCGTTATGGTTGGACTGTCAGAACTTTATATTCGATCTCTGCTTATGTTTCTTATGATGATCTTTCTCCTATATTTTGAGCTTATAATATGACTTTATCATATACGCCGGTTTCTCGCTCTGTTTCAGAGGCTATACGGAAACCCCAGTGGATTCTTGCCATGCAGACAGAGATGGACGCTCTTCAACATAATCATATATGAGATCTTGTCTCTTTACCTTCAGGGGTGAAGCCTGTTGGCTGTCGATGGGTTTACACCATGAAGTTTCTTACGGATGGTACTATTGATTATCACAAGACTAGACTTGTGGCGAAGGACTTTACTCAGATACCAGGTCGTGATTTTGGCGCTACCTTTGCCCCCTTGACAAAATTGACTACTGTTCGATTGATTATTTCTCTGGCTGCGGAGTACTCTTGGCATCTTCATCAGTTGGATGTGAAGAATACATTTATTCACGGTAATCTGGACGAAATTATTTATATGGATGCACCACTGGACTTTCGTGGTGAGGGGGAGTATGCTGGAAAGGTATGTCGACTGTGTAAGTCTCTTTGTGGATTGAAACAGTCACCACGAGCCTGGTTCTCTCGCTTTAGTGATGTAATTATACATTTAGGGTTCACCAGATGTCATTTTGATTATACCTGTTTCATTCGACGAAATACTTTTGGACAGTGTGTCATCTTTTTGGTATATGTTAATGATATTATTATTACTGGAGATGATGTTTCTGGGACTAAGCAGGTCAAGGTAGACCTTGGGAAGGCTTTTGATGTGAAAGACCTTAGATTTTTGCGATACTTTCTTGGGATTAAGGTTGCCCATAGCAGCAGGGGTATTGTTATTTCTCAGAGAAAGTATGTTCTGGATCTTCTCTCAAACACTGGGATACAGGGGTGCAAACCGACATCATCACCCATAATTCCAAACCTGAAGCTTACTGCTAAAGGTGAGGAGTTGAAAGATCCAACTATCTATCAGAGGTTGGTAGGTAGACTTATCTACCTAACCAACACTAGGCCAGACATTTCATTTGCTGTTAGCCGAGTTAGTCAGTTCATGTCAGCCGCATCGTGATGCAATTTATCATATTCTTCGGTATCTCAAGTTTTGTCCTGGACTTGGGTTGTTCTATGCATTAGGAACTCAGACTGGTTCTCTAACTTGTTATTCAGATTCAGATTATGGGAGAGCGTGTGATGGTCGATCTACTACGGGTTTCTGTGCTTTTGGAAAGACTCATCTTATCTCTTGTAAGAGCAAGAAGTAGTCAATTGTCTCTCGCTCGTCAGTAGAGACAGAATATCGGGCATTGGCACTTGGCACGTGTGAGATTATCTGGCTACGATCAATTCTTGGCGAGTTGGAATTTCCAGTGACTTCTTCATCTACATTATATTGTGATAATCGATCTGCTATTCAGCTCGCTTCTGACTCTGTATTACACGAGAGAACAAAGCATATAGAGATCGATGTTCACTTCCTTCGGGAGAGGTTAACAGTGGTATTGTCACTCCATCGTTTGTGGGGACCAGTGATCAGGTTGCGGATGTTTTCACCAAACCTGTCACTCTATCCATTCTTCGGGACTCCGTTGTCAAGTTTGACTTAGTTGACATTTTTGCGCCTAACTTGAGGGGGAGTATTGGAGATATAACAACCTAGTTAATTAGGGTTTATTTTGTTTTACCTTTTTATCCTTATTGTAAACTTTCATTGGCTATATATATGGGGGCTCTACACGTAATTTGTATCCCTTTTATCTCTTCTAAATATTTCAAGTCAAATAAGGTCTGCCTTAGTACATATTAGCCATTTATGTTAAGTTAGGTGTGGGTCCACAATGTAGAAGGCCTCAAGGCAGTCTATGATGGCTTAGGACCAAAGTAAGATTAACCCTACAAATAGAAGGCCTACATCCCTACTCTTGCATTATTTATTAGCAAGGAAGCAGTAGAAGGCCAAGAGCTTGGCATATGGTTGCAGGTTTTGCTGGGGCGACAGTATACGAACCAAGAACACCAATAGAGCCATTCAATGCTTAAACAGAGGTCTACAACACGTGCTTTTAAGGTATGTCTAAACTAACCTAGTTATAGCTTGTGTGTTCTAGTCACTACAAGATAATAAAAGTTTTATAAGCACTGTTTGAGTAACGTGGGATGATAAAGGACTCGTTCCAGTGTGGGTATTGACACCTAAATCTGCTCTAATCTAAGATGCACTGATGGTGCGAGTAGATCTCAGTTTCATGCGAGTTGATCTCGGTTTCTATGGTTACCAAGTATGCCTGTCACATTAGTGGGTGTCAAATCAGCATCAACAGCAGCAACAAGAAGACACGTGACACTTGTTAGATAATTGCACGAATATTTCATTCTTTTGCAGTCTTTAATAGCATCTGAAACATTAAACCTCTGTCCGTATACAAATAAAAATGTGAGATATTAGTACAACAGATAAGTAAATCAACCACACAATTGTTGGTTTTGAATTTCCTTGGAACCTAATATCAATTCCTATTCAAATCTAGAGGTTCACTGAGTCCAACATTAAGAAATCTAACCATCTTGAAATTTGAATTTCGAGCAAGTTATGTAACCCCCATTCCCTCCTCCAGGCTCCACCCAGTATGTAAATGACACAGTCCCTCCAAGTAGCTGTAGCTTTAGTGTGAAGTGATTAGATTATCTCAAACACCCAGGGGAACCATCAATTTTAATTGCTTACATCCTGTGCTAAAAGCACACCTCAATTGGATATATCAACCGTATCGAATTCCCATTTTTGTGAGGGGACATTCCATTTTTAAGGGGTTATGCAGAAAAAAACATAAAAATTAAAATTCGGTTTAATCCCCATCAATGAAGGTCTAACAATGGGTATTATTTGCACAAAGTGACTGCCCCCAGTTTTGAACCTCCAACCTCCTAGTTATGAAGAAAAATGACAATGAAGTAGTACAAGTTTCCGAGCAACATATAAAGGGGAAACATGATTTCAGATCAATATCTCAAAGGAAACTGTACTTACAAGTTACAACTTAACTGGGTGGGTTACCTCAACGGTGGCCAACGGGAAAACAAGTCTCTAGCAATATAGCAATTTAACTTCTGAGATTATAGATAGTCACTGGCTCACTACCAGTTTGGACCTTGTTAATCAAGGGTATTATGAGGGGTGGGCAGGTTACAAAACTAACCTTAAAACTTATTTGAAAAAAATAAGTGCTCAACCCATAACTTCATGATTGAGTTGGCCAGGGTAATTATCCAATTTGATCGCATTCAGTGAGGGTATTTGGAGTGTCAGAATGCATACACACCCAACCCTGATATACATGATTCCTTAGGATTTGTCACCTCTTTAAAGTTTTGGCCAGTAGTTTGACAAAGTAGAGCTTCTTAACCTTGACCTACCTTAACTTAATACTTGGATGTCGCATCAACATGGGTAATACATGATTTTTATGCAAAATTGTATGCTTTAAGCAGTGATTATGGTGTTCTATCATTTGTGACATGATGATCCTTGCTATTATTCACCTCTTTGACCGATCTCAACTTCGTACCACAAAGTGACTGTGTTCATATTCGAACACACAACCTCACCTCATGATTTTTAATGGACCAAGCTGATATCAGGCAGAATTCAAAAGAACAATGGTAAATGAAGCATTGGAGGAGGACTACACTTACAGTTAAACCAGTACATTCATCACGAAAACAAACTGTCTCATTAAGTGCCTCAGCAACGCCTTTGGAATCATCATGAAGCAATCTCCTATCCAATAAGAGACAGTTCACATTATCTATCTTGAAACTGAAAACCTCAATTTAGGCCAATGGTATGGGAAAAAACCTGTGGAGCATCAGCTCCAACTGCCCATCAGAAATGCTGGATCCACCTACAGATCTATCTACCAAGATTGAGAGCTCAGTGCTGTCATCCTTCATGTAAATTCCGAGGTTTATCTGAGAGAAAAAGACATAAGTAGACCTTGATATGTGGACTTCAAAGAGACTAACTTGCATGATGATTTCATATAAACTTCAATGATATCAACAAATAAGAATAAATTTCTTTGAGGTGTGGATAGTGTGTGAAAGACAATTGACACGAACATTAAACAATCATTATAAAAGAACAAACACTTTCTTCATCCCATAAAGCTCTTTAATCTTCAAACATATCTCATCTTCAAGAAGTAATTCTCAAACTGAAAGATTAGTGCATAAGTTTTCTACTTTGGTTCTGGACAAATTTCCTATCAAATCCAACAGAATCAATCCAAGGGTTGATGCCAAAGATAGTGAATACAAAACTGATACATAATGTGCCTAGAATCAATAATCCTTTATCAAGAGCAGGGTTTTTTATGCTTATGAAGATTAATATCTACAAATTTCCAATAGGTTACCCACAGTGGATGTTGTTTATCTCTACAATTCAAAACTTGCAAGAGAGACATTCATTTTACTGGAAGAAAATTGTACAAAAAGGGAACCAGAAAGCAGCAGTTATACCCCCAATCTTCAAAGAAAAGTAGTAGTTTACAAGCAAGTAGAGCAAGGAGAGGGCAAAAGAAGCAGCTAGCACAAGTTGAATGTTTATATCAACTCATTCATTATAAAACGGTCACTCCTCTAGGATCAGGAAGAACAGACCCCCAAAGAAGTATGGGAATTTGCCTTTCTCCTAGACTACAACCACCTCCAAGGAGTTTACCTGCGAGAATTCTGTGTCCTTCCTAGGGCTCCGTCACGTTCCACAAAGAAACCCATAGTATGGCACTTCTCCAAAAATATATTTAGCACTTACCTTTTGCAGTATGACTTCGAGATGACAGAAAAGTCCAAAACAATCCAAAAACATAAAGTTTACGAACAAGAAAAGCTAAGCAATGATGAACTAGGAGATAGTCTACCACACATTTAGAAGAGTAATGCTAGTGTTTGACCCAAATGAGGACCAAAGGAAGCCTAGCAAGAACACTTTGGAGTACACTTAAATGAAATATCTATAATGTTTCAGTTCATATATCAAGCACAACATTGCCTTAAGTATTACATGTGCACACAAGCTTATGCCAAAGGCTATTTCCACAAATATCATGTCTTCTCTAGGGTCATAGATAATATCATAAGATGAAAGAGAGTCACCATGCTTCCTACACCATTTTTCTGAATTCTGAAAGTCGTAGATGTTGTCACATTGTGAGAATTGGCTACAGAAGATAATTCGAGGTAGAATTGATGTTTTTTTATCAAAAAAGTTTTTGATGGCAAGAAGCCTTATTCTATAAAACACCAAACAAAAGAAAAACAAAATTAGACCTAGTCAATACAATTTTTGCCATATCATAAATAACTAAATATATAATTATGAAAACAAATATCCATCTAATATTACAGTTAGGAATTTCAATTATCAACTTAGAAAAGCACAACAATGCTTAAGATTGATGCAATTTTCATTTACTTTAATACAATGGGACAAAATTCATCACAAAAAACATCATTTTCTATGCACGAATTCCAGTGTCAGGCAACTCAACCAACACACTTCTCAGTGCCAGACAACCCCCTCTCTTTTCACTTTAATTTTCAATATTGTAATTAAAGAAAAACAAAGAAAAAATAAAATGTTATTTAAAATATAAATGTTGCACGATCAAGACTTAATTTTTTGTATTGCAAAGTGTCTTCATGCTCGAGATTATTGCTAGTTGATTGATAAAACAATATCAAGATATTCCAAGTTTTAATACCGACATACCGGATAATAATTTCCTGCAATAGGTTGGTTCACTAAAAGGTCCCAGTCAGCTCTATAATCTCGAATCTACAAAAGAAAGCCATTTGTTTTAGACAACAGAAGTTTTCTTATGCCTGCAAGTTTCTAGCAACATGCAGAATTGTGCAATGCATTTAAGTATATGTAGACCACAACCACGATTCATGATTGAGGCATATACAACATGGTTTCAAACAATATGATGTACCATACTACCATATGCAAATTTACAGCATACCCGCTCAAGGAAATCGCGTCCATTAGAGTCTGTGAAAAAAGTCTTATTGCTTTTCATGGTAGTTGTAATCTGAGTGACAACCTCTTTCCCAATTCCATCATCAATAGGTATAGGTCCAACCTGAAATTCAGAATATGGTCAAAGATTGCATACGTGAAATTATAGCTCCTTAATGTATAATGTTCCCATCTCATCTCCACTGGACATGCAAGTATAAGGATAAGTTAAAGGTTAACTTACAGTAAACTCAACTTCGGCATGCTCCTTTTCCTTGTATACTCTTGTGACCTTCAACACGTGATGTTATGTTACTGAGAGTGTTAAGAACAAAATTTCCAAATGACTACAAAGCTAACATATCTCATTTTCCACATTCTATTAGTGCAATAAACATATAACCTGAGATATCCATGAATTAATTTTCTGATGAACTTCGTCATAGAGTGGTCCCTGCATAACGGTAAATGGAATCTGCAATTTCAAGAACTAACTCCTTAAGCGATTATTTAGTGCTTCATGGGTCATGTGCATGCAATAAAGGTCTTGGGAGGCATCACATACCTGGCCAGGAGATGGGATTGGGAATGTACCATTTGGACGAAAGATGTATGCTCCAGAGGACTTCAACAAATCAAGTTAAATTAGCAATTTATAACTACTCTCTTCTTATATGAAAAACTGACAATGTAACACAATAAATGAAAACAGAATGTAGTTATATCTAACGAGGTAAACTAACAAATTTAAAAAGGAAAGAAAAGTTTAATCACCTGAACTTCCCCAGCTCCATCATATCCAGAATAATAGGTGTATGATTGTTCTACTGATGCTTTGACCTTCAATGTTAACCAAATCAGATGCAAGCAATATGTTCAAATTATATGAGAAAGGAAAAAGATAAATTACAATCATTATGTGAAAAGAAACATTAACAATGACTTATATTCAGGTCCGTAAAAAATAAAAAGAAACAAACCTAATAGAAACATGGTGGAGTCAGGATTATAACTCAGTTTCAGAAAAACTGTTGCTCAAAAGGCACCCAAAAGTCTAAAAGACATGATAAGACGTTTTTAAAATTTAGGGGACCAAAAACACAGCTTGGATTCTACTTATCTCCATTTTGATACAATTCTAGAAGATCTTATAAAATGAAAACAGAAGTAAGTTGTCTGCAAAACAACCTACCTTGTTTCTCCTGTTATTATACTGAGCAAGTTTTCCTTCATTTCTAGAATAGATAAGCTTCAAATTTCCTGGGCCTACTTCGATAGTATCATTTTGACTTCCCGAGGAACTGTACACTGTTTGACTCACTAAAGTAGCAGCTGCATCCGTAACATGGGACAGAAAAAAAATACAATCACTGTTGACAAACAGAAGAAGCGAGCCTAAGAGTAATTTTACTTTGCACAGGCAAGAAATGAAAATTGTATCGTTAACCTGCTCGTTTTGCACTGGAAACAATGTAAGTGCTGAACCCCAGAGGTGGAACAGATGCTGTAAATGCAAGCCAATATAAGAGAGTTGCACTTGGGGATTGACCCTCATATGCAGGAGCATATAAGTTCCTCAAGGCTACAGAGGCATTAGCCACAGGCAGAACCTGTGCTTCTATTTCTTTTCCACTGGAATCCTGAACAGTGACATTCTCACTGATAACCTGCAGCAATTGTCTGATAAGTTCGAAAACAAAACAATAATATAGATGAATAAGTCTAATAACTAAACATGGGTATGTATGTATATATATGATGAGTAGTCATCCATGAAACCGTTCATATGTTCATGTGCTTTGGATAAACAACTCATAAAAAGGATACATGAATATGTAATTTTCCCCCTTAAAGCTATATGCACACATGCAGATGACCGTTGAAGAATGCGTGGACATTAATTAATGTTAAGCTAGGAGGAAGAATGCATGTACTGTCCAAGTGACTATTCTTTACATCTCCAAAAGGATGAGAAATAGAGTTCCTCCCACACAAGAAAACAAGAGAAAATAGGGGTATCATTTTCTCGGAATTGGCCTGATAGAGTAGATATCCTATTTCATCTTATGAAAGGTTTTGAATAATATGGCTTTCCGAAATAACAAACACTACACCTAGACGCCACTTCCAAGTTCCAACATCTCTTTTCATTGTCCTTTCCTGATATTCTCTTCTACAAACAAACAACTCATAGCATTTCCTCACAAAATATAAAATATCACTATTTTCTCAACTACTTTGCGCTTCGACAGCACATATGGGCTTAAATTTCTGGTTTATTTGTCTTTAGTCTCCCCCCCCCCCCCCCCAAAAAAAAAAGGAAAGGAAAAATGTTTCACGTTTTGAAATCGATGCCGAAATTCAATGATTCTTTAATAGGTTTATAGTTTATGAATAAGCAATAAAGCACAGCTGCTGTGTATCATATGGTGCAATAAACTTAAATATCCGGTACAAAACCCATTTGAAGTTAACATGTAGCATATAAATATAAGTTTAATTACAGGAATGATAAAGACACTCAAAGTGTCAAAGGCGAGAGATAGTAACAAAACTTTTATACAGCCTTATAATGCTAGCTGGCTAAAGATTGAGCTATGTACTGATTGAAAATACTCACAGGAATTCTTATGATGTCCTCTCTTTTCCAACCCAAAGAATTGTAGACAACCACCACCTACAGAAGACAGACATTATAAATGATTACTTTGCGCCAGATACTAACTTCTGGGGGAAAAGGCTTAGGTTTTTTTTTTCCATTTTTAGGAGGTCAGGTAATAAACTATTTTCCAACACCATGCAAAGAATTTGGAAGAGATAAAGTGATTAACAGATACTCAGCTTACCAATCTTTTTCCAAGAGACAGATCAACTTCTGTTGGAGGACAATAAGTTATGTTCAGAAGAGGACACTGGAGAAGGAACAAAAAAGAAGAAAATATGAGGAAAAAGAAACAATCAAATTCTGTGGCACCGAACTTGCTCTACTCAAAATTGAAAACTAAATAAACAAATGATGTCAACCAATTTTGGGCTATGAGAAAAAACAAAATAAACTTGTAACAAAAAATTGGATGACTACCCAAGCTTACCTGAGGAATCCGTGCTAAGGAAAGCATATATTTTGACATGCTCCAGATACCATAAAAGAAACATTATGTATATAGATGCATGGTTTGCTTTGAAAATTCAAGTGCTATTTTCATGGGATGGAGCAACCTAGTTGGTAAAGCATGGGAAGAGATGCTAGTTCTTGACAAAATTGAAACCAACATTCAAGTAGCCTAGAAACAACGGCAGAGTTGTGCAGTCATCTGCATATTTAATTTGAGGTTATGTTTGAAATCTTAATCTTATAAAAGTACGATATAGATGCCAGAGGTTTAGTGGGAATTCTCTACACAGCCTGAAAAATAAATAGTTCCAGTGACTATTTTAAGTAGAAAGCTAAAGCAGCCCAATATTGTAGAATTAGAGGGTCATCATTTTTTACCTGTTGAAACTTGGTCACAGGGTTCACACATCTAGATTTTGATGTTGATTCTACCATACAAGCGAGTGTAACTCCAACTAAATCCTCTGCCTGCAAGCAATCTCAAGTTAATGTGAACACTAACATATATTCAATCAAAGTTAAATATTGGGACATCCAGAGTAAGTTTTCACCTCCTTGTAGCCTATTGACAGCCGTTTTGCATAATCATAAGCCACATGCTGCTGTTCAGTGCCACTAACCGCATCATGATGTTGAGCCACTGCTAAAGCATCAGCCAAACTGTCGGTGGTGGGTCCTGATTTTCTCCTTCCCATAAAAAATTCCAGTTGCCTTGCTGCCTACTTAGATATTGTATAATGAGAATCACAAATTTCAATTTTTGCTAACAGTGCAACATAACTAATTAAACTAAAACAGTAAAGTGACCCACCAAATAGTAGCCACTTATCATTCTAACATAGCCCTTGAGGGCAGGCCTACTTGTAAAATACCCTGTCCAGTAAGCATCCACATTGTCTGCGTATCTGGTAAATGCATTCATCACATGTAAGCATGGATCAAATGAGAGCTGCTGAAGTGACGTATTCAAAATCATGATTAAATTTCAAACTCACGGAAAAAAGTCCTCAGTTTTGAGTGGCCATGAATCATTTGTTGCATATTTTGCATCAGTGTAAAATGATGGAGTAGAATACAGGGCATTCACACGGCCATCCTACAAGCACACAAAATAAAATGCTCAGATTAATAGGAAAAGATTTGGCATTATTATAAGATATCACCGTTAAGAAAGCTTGTATCCCACATTGAATAATTAGGCCTACCAAGGTTAGTTTATATACTTGAGGGGCCACTCCACCCATTGTCAATTGATGTGGGGTAGAATGCTCTAACATGGTATCAGAGTTGAACCTTGATGGTCAGTGGGTCAAGAGTCTCTTACCCATTTGAATTTTCCGGTATGCATGGTTGTTTGTTTGTTTGCTGACCTAATGTGCAAGCCCGGGTCTCACGTGAGGGAGAGTGTTAAGGGGTCTCACATGAGGGAGAGTGTTAAGAGATCTTGTATCCCACATCAAATAATTAAGACCACTAAGGTTAGTTTATATACATGAGGGACAACTCCAACCAGTGTCAATTAGTTTTGGGTTGGATGCTCTAACAATTACATAGAAGAATGACAAGACATCATGAAGTGATCTATTTCAGAGGAAACTTTGGGAAGAATGCAGCCCATTAAACAAGGGAATGTTAGTTCCAAAGCTGAGTTCAATTTTTTCATCCATTCATACTTATAATTCGCTCCCTCTACCACAGTGAGGACACAGAGCAAGGGCAGCATGTGGCTTGTCTCCATAATTCATTTCAACAAATTTTAAAAGATGTTATACTAGATAAATCGTGAGCATGTAAACTCTACCACAACAGCCATGCAAAAAGGACTGCAAGAATTAGAATAATCCTATACAGGTACGCATGACAAGGCATCATAGGCCTTGAAGAAACACTAACTTGATTCACATAATGAATCAGCTTGTCCAAGTTCCGGAACCATGTATGAGCATACTGATACTTGAAATCTGTCCCCATGGTCCACATTATATGATTCGTGCGAGTAATATTAGCCTGAAAGAGCAAACATAACAAGTTGATGGTAAGCCTCAACAGATTTATTATTGCAGATAAACCTTTGCTTATTTGTTTTCATGAGCATATTTTTCAGGTTTACAAAAATTAAATGTCATTAAAGGAAGACGGCTTGTTACATCTCATATAAAGCAGTTCATTTGTCAAACTATTCTAATACATTTACATGCCGTGAAGGTCTTTTGCTTGGGTGATTATCAAGGTCTAATTTTAGTTGATTTGCTCAGGTGGTTGGCTCCATTGAGGTTAATACATAATGATTTTAAATCTTCTTTTCGTTTATGAAGAACAGTATCAAAGCTATTAGGCCTCCATTTATACAGGAGAAGGTATGTTTAGAAATTAGAATTGATATTTTATCAACAATATACATTTAGCTTTTATTTTAACCCAAGAGAAGTGGAGACCATGTGACAGGAAACATTCCATTTGCACAAGGAAACTGAATGAACACACATAATGAGTATGTGAAAAATACCTGTGATAAAGCAGCAGCTACAAAATCATTGACACGCTCTTGGACATTGTAATCAAACAAATTGAAGTCATCCTTCAATACATTACATAAACGTAATATCAGTACATGTCCAAGTAAATGTTCAAGCACCAAATAAAGTTTCTTTTCCAAGGCCTTACCTGGACAATTGGTGAATCATCATTGACTTCAAAGTAGAAACCACTTGGAGGTTCATAGTTTTCAGGGAATGCTCCAGCAAAAATCTGCAGAAAGTGAATAATCATCTATAAGTAATAAAGATTGGGGATTGCTAATTTTTAAATGAAGCAGCAATTCAACACCCCCGATATTCACCTGTGCAGAAGAACCAAGACTCTTAGAACCCCGCCAGACAACCTCAAGACTCTTCTCTTCTTTCCGCTTAGCTCTGTCTTGGTAATCAATTCGTCCAAAGAAAAAGGAGTCAAATCCAACCTAAACCAACAAAAGCACTTGAGCTCCATTAATTTGCAGATAATAAGGTAAGTAGGCCATTCTTTGGTTAATCCTTCTTTTTTTTTGTGTCTGCATAAATTTTCCCTTGGCATAATCATTTTTTTTCAAGTAACTATAGTAGGCATTGATTAAGAGTGTCAACTACAAATCAGTGGACATATTGAGGTAAAATAAAGAGAGGGCATACCTCGGCCCCCAATAGGTAGGCCTGCACTGCAGAATGCCCAAAGGGATCAATTTGCCAACCAATTCTTGGAGTTAGGTTGAATTCATCTTTGATAAATCGATGCCCTAGTGTTGTCTGATCTATCATATCAATATAATGTGGGGCAGCTTCGTCGTGCATACACATGCCTCCATTGCTGAACCCAAATAGGACTAATCAATATACCTTTACAAACTGGAAAATCCTTCCAGGATCGGAACATCCCTTGTTCGTACTGTAGTAAATTTAACAATCTATAACTTGAAATGAATAGGAAGATAACCAATCTCAAAGGCTCCTTGAGCCTAATGCCATATCGTTTTACTATTCCGTTATTATTTTGAGTTTCTATAACAATTTCAAGTGAGGATATGTTACTATATACATGAACTCGAGTTGACCCGAGCTGACAAGCTGCTTGACTTTGCTCTGGACTGCCTCGCTCTGGTCTCTCCACCATCGCTGGAAAAACGCCTGTAAAATCAAATAAAAGATCAATATGCATTTCCATTCTCTCTCTCTCTCTCTGCGTGTCTGCGAGAGTGTGTAAGAAGGAGATAGATTGTTACCTGTTCAACATAAATAAATTTCCTATTTTTATCGGCCAATAAAGCTGGAATTAATGAATCCAGCACATTTTGAACACATGCTCCCTGCATTTCAAGTGAATATAATTACAATTCCGAATTCAAACGATGAAGTTAGGTAGAAATAACTATACACACACACACATATATACATATATATATATATATACAGCAAGATAAAGTCTCTGTGTGAGAGAGAGAGAGAGAGAGAGAAAAGGAGGGACCTGAATGCTGTTGTTGGAACCAACATAGTACTGATCAACAGTCTTCAACCAGCCAACATCATCGTGCGTGTGAGCTACCAAATGAACATTGAGCTTCCCAGGAATAATGCTCTGCGAAGTATTGTAAACCATATACTTCGATTCCGCGCACAAAGCGGTCCAATCAGAATTAATAAACACACTTGGATCGCCATTGATGGGTTGACTAAGAAGATCCCAAACTTCATCCAATAAAGACTAGTTGTACCAGTACTTGAAAAGAAGAAAGGACCATTCTTATATGGGTTAATCTCCCTCTGCACCTCAAAAAACTATTCGTAAAAATTTTAATTTACACACTTAAATATTAAAAATTTTAATTTTACCTTTAAATATTAAAAATTTTAATTTATACCCTCAATTATTAAAAATTTTAATTTTTACCCTCAATGTTCTAAATTGGTGGAACCGTGGACCTCGCCTAGACTATCGTTCAATTTTTTGTTATAAATTAAAACACATGAGTTGTAAATATTTTGAGCATGAGCTTATTTATAAATTTATAAATTATTGACGTTTCATGTGAGTTGCACATAATATGAATAGTCTCAATTGAAACTTTTTTTCCATACACAAAATAGGGTCAAAATGATGGCATACGAAGATGGTCTAGGCTAGATTTACATTGTTATTAATTCATAACATTGAGGGATAAATTAAAATTTTTAACATTTGATAGTATAAATTAAGAATTAAGATGTTTTTTTAGCTACAAAGTGAGATTAGCCTTTTTTATATTATTAGAATTTGGATGAAGCGGAATATCCGATAAAGGCTTATTATAATTTCCTTCGTCTTCAACCTACCCGTTTGTTGTAAACTAAACGAATTCACGCAAAAGGTCACTGTCGACAAGTTTAATTTAGCAATTTTAATAGTTAGGGTTTATGGACATCCGCATTATCAACAGATTTTCCGTCTAAAAGTGCATGGTAATTTTGGAGTTTTTTTTTTTTTTGATAAATAATAATTTTGGAGTTGGGAAGAGAGAGAGAGAGAGAGCATTGATTGAGTTGAGAAATACTGCTCCGCTTTGAGTTGGTTTTTCGTGCGTAAAATAAAACTTTGAAAAATAAAATAAAAAAGTCAAAGTTAAAAAATTATTAAAAAAGTTTGAAATTTTTTTTAAAAAGTCGGATTTCTCTTTAAAGTTCTTGAATAAACCTTATTTTCAACAGGCCCAATGTTATAGTAATAGTGATTTAATTTGAGATCTAATTAAGAGATTTAATTAAAAATTAATTTAATATAAAAATTAAATTAGTAGGTAGAGTTTACAAGTCGCTGTATTTTAGTAAGAGCAATATTATTGAGACATAAAAATTTGATCTAATTTACTGTAATCTTTGGATTGGTTGTAAGTCTAATTTTGTGTTTGATTCAATTATTTTTATTAAATTATATCATTATATCAATAAATTAGATTAAATTTTTAAATTCAAATAGTACAACTTTTTAATAATAAGCTTACTAACAAACAAAACTCCTCCCCAAATTTGAGACCCACGAGAATGGCCCGTGACGAATTCTATCCTTATCTTGAATTACATTTATCAACTAGGATTGGATAATCTTGTTAATTACTTGATTCTCTCGCCGGCCAGAGAGAGACAGAGAGGCGAAAAGGGCGTACCTCGTTGCCCATGTTCTCCCGAATCCAATTCCAATATCCACACCAAGCGTAACATTCCCTCTAAAACTCAACAAAACGAACCGTAAAATCCTAAAACAGTAGCCGCCGTTCCACTGCTCTCCACCGCCACCGACGTCTGCACCGTAACCTCCCCCGTTCGACGGCACAACTCTAGACGTCATGACATAAGCGACAGCTCAGTAACAGCGCTCGCGTTAGCCGACCCGGAGAGGCTCCGGAAGCCGCGAGCCTAGGGCGGCGGCGGCGGCGTCAACAATAGTTGGTGAAGGAGTGCTTCAATGGTAAAGTGCAATTGAGAATGTGTTGAAGATGTGACCGATGAAGGGTGGATTCGAGGCGTTCGGTCTCCTTAATATTTCAACTAAAATTATTTATTTTATTACATTTTTATGTTTAAAATTCTTTTATTATATTAATTCAATATATATTATTAAAACAAATTTGGGGATCATTAATATAAATATTATTAAAAATAATAATTTTAAAAAATATTATAATTTTATTGAAATTAAAATTATCATTAAATTTAGTTAAGAATATTTTTAACTATGACTTAAACTTAGACTCATATGACTGCGAGAGTCAAAAAGTTATCATTAAAGATTAGATGTAGGGAGTGCCGGTGTGATCAACAACGATGGCAAAGGCAGGAAAGTGAGAACTTGTTTCGTCGAATGAGTTTTTTGAGTTCAAATAGAATAAAAAGTTATTGTTATAAATTTAATATAGGGTTTAAGTCTCTTTCAATTTGGTTCCATAATAAGTTTTTATTTTTGTATAAATGTAGGTCTAAGGTTGGATAAAATTTTTAGACCATTTTTATTCAAATTTAAATGAATCCAAATTTAAGTTTGGTTGAATATAATACAAACTTAAACAAAAATTAAAAGTATAATTTCAAAATATAAACTCAAACTAAATTATATGCTACTACAACTTTCATAACAATGCCACAAGTGATAAACCAAACTAGCTTGGAGTTGAAAATGTATTTCCTTTATCGTAAATGTGTAACTGATTTCGACTAAAATATTGATATTTTAAAGTGTGGTTGCACAATACGGCAAATTCCCTACTTTCATCTTTGTTTGCATCGTAATTGAGTGTAAGAATTTCGTCACGTTCATCATAAACAATCATGTTGTGCATTATAACACAAAGCTTCATGATCGGCTAAAGTATTTGACAATCCCAAAACTATTAACACATATTACCAAGCAACACCTTAGTCTTGATCCTATTCCATCCAATGCACAGATTGGCCATTGACAATCTCAAGTGATGAGAACTTGAAAAATGCAAATTATCTATTGGTACAAACCAGCTTAATAACTAACAAATTATTAAGGCATTGCACAGTTATCCAGTGTGAGTTTGTTTTTAATGGATTAAGATTGTAATCAAGTTCACCTATTGAAAGTTATTAGTAATTGGGTAAGCAAGAATCCAACATTATCTAAACTCAACTGTATATGGATCATTTATGAGCAAATAAATATGAGTACAAACACAAACTCATCAGTAAGGGTGTCAATATATGACACGATCTATTCACACGACAAAAGAGGGTTTGAAACTTATTGAAGTCACTTTTTTGTAAGCGAGTGAACTCGACATAACACGATTAATAAATAAACTGAATATGAATGAAGTCAATTATAAAAATTACACGATATAAATCTGATATGACATGATGCATTATACATAAATTAAATATGAATAAAATCTAGTAAAATCCGATACAACACACACCCAACTCACAATATCCTTTCTTAGCCCTAAATAAGGATGTCAATGGACCGAAACGGGGGGGTGGGGGTATAGTCTTCATCCTCGTACTTGCTTAAAAAATTTCGTTCATCCCCGGTCCACCCCTATTAACAGGTATATTTTTATTCTCATCCCCCTATTCGCGGGTAAATTTATAATCCTCGTACCCGCCCAAGCCTAAGCATAAGCCCAAGCATAATTTGTTGTTCCTACTTAATCAACTAAACAATATAAATAATCAAACAAAAATGAGCAAGTAAAGCATCTAGTAATTAAATAGCTCAATAATACAATTCAGATAAGTACACAATTAAATAGATTAACCAATCGAGTTCAAGGATCCAATCAAACACAATCATGCACAGTTAAATGGATGACATTATAGGAAATTGAAATATCAAAAATAAAGATTAAAAATAGTTTTTTTTTTTTTGCTATGATCGGAATAGAAGATGTAACAATATATAAAGTGTGGCAAATGATAACTCTAATCGAATATCTCTAAACCCAATAAACATTCTAATGTTTTAATAAATTCAATGCTCCAACAACACAAAAGAAATACATCAGGGGCAACATTTGTACCATGCATTGAAGCTAGAAAAAATTAGACTTAGAGAATGCACGTCTATTGTAGCGTAAGAAAAATATACTTCGGTTTATTCAGTATGCAATGCCAGATTCATGAAACACACACAACCTCAGATAGTATGCCTTATTTTTTTTGCATTCAATTATGTTGAAACAAGGAAAATTATTTCGAGAGATAATTAGCTACAATTCTATGAAAATTGCTTCATCATGATAATTATCTCTATAATTCCATGAAATTGCTTAATCATGATAACCATATGTGTGTGTGAGAGATAAAGAGAGGGGGTGGCGTTGATTGAGGAAGAGGAGTAAGTTAGGCCTACGAATTTAATTGAGAGTTTATTTATTTATATATATTTATTTATTTAATGGATAATGGGGACGGGACGAAAGTAAGGGTAAGTCCATCCCCATCTTCATCCTAACACGGATTTATACGAATATCCTCATATACATTTATCATTCAATATGTATAGTCCATCTTTAATTTAAACAAAACGAGTTTGAACAAATATTCATTTTTTTTTTATCCACTGCCATCCCTAACCCTAAAGTTAAACTAGTGCAATTGGCTCAGGCCCGGAAACCATGTCCTTAACAAATCATACGGCAGCCTTTCATTAACTGGGCTTGCCACTAGAATGCCCATCATTTAAACTCGTCTTGTTTCGTACACGTGGCAAAGTCCTAGAGGCCATTTGATGCGACAATTTCCCGCGCAATTCTCATACAGCAACCTCGCTCCTCTCTCTTGCCTCTCGGTCTAAACAACCTCGCGGTTATCGGAGAGAGAGTGAGAGAGAGAGAGAGAGAGAGAGAGAGAGAGAGTAAGGAAACATTCTGAACCAAAAGAACCCTAATCTGATAGAAGGAGGAGGAATGGGAAGCGATGCGGAGCGAGAAGAAGACGTAGCAGCTACTGATCTGTTTAGAGATCGATTCCGACTCTGCACGATCTCCATCGCCGAAGCGGAAGGTTCAATCTCTACATATATATATATATCTTATATATATGTTCTTGAATCAATTTACTTATTTACTGCTTTTTAATCAGTTTCCTTGGGTTGCTTGTGCAGCAAAGCAAAACGACATGGAAATTTCTCAACCAATCATGGCCTGCATCTCCGATTTAGCCTTTAAATATGCAGGTATATTTCTTCCTCTGTTTTCATATGTATAGTAAGTGCTGTGTGACTTGACTTGTGACAGTACATTTTTGTGCCGGTTAAGCAGTTTCATTCACTAATTCAATATTTATCCCCTCTGATTTGTAAATTTAGGAAATTATAATTGATCATCAAGATGCCCCGCACAAATTTTAAATTACTTGACAATTTATATTGTGCTTCTTGAACAGTGTCTTGAGTTTAGTGATTTTAAATGACGCCTTTAGAGAAAGGAGGTGGGGGGGGGTAAGGCTGTCATGTCAAATCGCATAGCATTATGATATATGTATCTTGTGTGTCATGTGTATATTGCTTTGATGTAATATATAATATACACGAGGTTTAATTATAGTACACGAGGGTAATGAAATTTCGAAGTCTAACTGATATGAGACACACATATAAACGTACAAACATTAACAGATGTCAAGGATCTGTTCCAATTATTCTAGTGAATATCTTCTTCCTCCTCTTTTTTTCGCTCTAATCTGAATCTAGAGTCTAATTTTCTTGAGTTTAGCTCTGTCTTTTCTTCTCTATTTAAGTTATGCCTAATTCTACTTTCTCAGACATAGATTTACACACATATGAAACCGAAGTAGACATGTGTTTCCTTAGATTACTGTCCATAGATTAGTTTTGCTTGGGAATCTCGTTGTCTGTCTCCCACGGTTCCCCCTACTTCCATGCCTTTTTTATTCTCCTGTTATCTATCTTTTATTGAAACTACTGGTATCTGCATTTTCAGTTTTCATTTCAATTCCAAGTTTTGATTCGATTGAAATTTTTTCAAATGCATGGATTTCAAGACTGAAGTCTTTTATATTGATGGATCCTATTCTACCTAACCAGCTAATGCGTTTTTTGATACCAACTATGTAAAATGGCTGCTTATCGCGGTTCATCGAATATTTAAAAACAAGACAGTTATTGGATGAAATATTAGTTTTGATCAATTCATTGACATTGTTTGCCTGCCAAGTAATGTTTGCCTTTTAATTTTCTTTTCTTGTTTTGAAAGAATTAGGAAATGTATCGAGATCTTTGCCAAATAGAGATACGTGATTCACTTTAGTGGTTTGATTTCCTAATGACTGGAGCAGAACATTGGACATATCTTACTTCAGGGAGAAAAGAAAAAAATAAAATAAAATAGAACGTTTCCACAGCTTCGCTTGAACAGCTTATATTAAATCACTTGAACCAGCGCAATTGCTTTTCCTGCAAACGTACCGACTTCCATTGTTTATACTCGATTTACTTCAACTGCTCCATAATTAGTGTATTTAGCATTAGATTCATCTCTTCTGTTATGATGAATGGAGTGATTGAATTTTCAAAACTTCCATTATTTAAAGTCGTCTCTTCTTTTTTTCCCCCCAATTTCTGTGAGCCTGCTTTGAATGGTGAGATTTTACAGCTCAGTTACAAATGCTGAATAGTGGTCTCACCAATTGTGACATTATTCCATCTGTCATTGTAGGTTGAATGCTTTAGCATGAAATATCATCTGCTCCATTGTATCTTGAATGCTTTAGCATTGAATTCATAAACATCTGATGACATACTACCTAATAACAGGGCATTAAATTTGTACAATCCAGATATTCTTTGTATCTGAAAACCCCCAAGGGGTGTGGAAATCTAAGTTGATATGCTAGCATGTATACATATTGTGTTTTAGGTAAAGCTAATTTGAATTAACATAATGATGTTTCCTCAAAAGCAGAACAGTTGGCAAAGGATCTTGAGTTATTTGCGCAGCATGGGGGTCGTAAGACTGTAAACATGGAAGATGTCATACTTTCTGGTGAGTTTGTCAAAGTTGTTTAGGTTTCCAAGAAGCACTGATGCAAATTTTATTTTATTTTTGTGGTCAGAGCACTGATGCAATTAGAAGTCTCAAAATTTTCACCCTTTTTTTCTTCTTCCATTGGTCATGCTATCTCATTTCTTTTCTCAGCATACATTTTTTAGTAACATAATACTTCCTAATATTTTCTTCTCATTGGCTGTTTATCCGTAGCTAATTGCTAGTTCTAAACTATTTTGTTAGTTTCAAATGACGGTATTGGGATTCGTTTATACATGGGCAAATATCTTGTGCATATCGGCACTTTTAATTCCTGAGCATCCTGGCGCAAAGTGACAAAGCACATGGCTGAGAAATACAGAAACAAGAACTGATGGGTCCCTTCAATTATATATGTATTCTTTCTCTAATTATTTTAGAAAAGCCAGCCCTTGCCATCTCTCGTGATGTGCTCTCATTTTCGAATTTGTTTCGCTGAAAGACTGCTTAATTTGATTTCAGCTCACAGGAATGAGCAGTTAGCTGACTCATTGAGGACCTTCTGCAATGATTTAAAAGCAAAAGAACCCCATTTGGACAGGAAGCGGAAGAAAGGTACAAGGAAACAAGACAAAGCCACTCCTACTGTCCTCCATATTCCTGATTCCTAGATCAGGATTGCTTGATAGGTACAGGATGCATTCCTGCATCTCTGCAACAATATGTTTTTAGTTTATTCTTGTCTTGACTCTTTGACAGGTTCAAAATTGTAATTAGAAGGATGTTATTAACTCTGTTTTCATGGCATCGATAAAACAAATGATTCTAATCTAAAGAGGTCACTATACCTGAAAGTTGAAACATGAGGGTGCTAACTGCCAAGGAAAATCTTCTCACACTGAGGGGAAGCCATGGGGGAAATACTATAACCACAGGAGGTGCCACTTTAATAAAACTTATTGAACACTTGAACTTTAGATCAGCTGCATCCAAAAACGTGCTGTCCTCTAGAACATGTTACAATTTTATCCAAAATTAGAATCACATTTTTGAAGGCTTGAAGCATGTACAAACAGGATGGGCTGGATCAAAATTGGGCAACTGCCTTTTCTACAAACACTATGGGCAAGTTTAATGCGGGCTTTATGAGCTGGATGAGGCTGCAGGCTGGAAACAGCACTGTGGTTCATCATGTGACTACTCCGACTTGGGCCAAGTGGACCCATTTTCAGGGCTGACCAGCCTGACCCATGATCATGCCTTCATTGAATGAATTTGGATTTGGCATTTAAATCTAAGCAGTTCAAGTTTGTGCAGGTTCTTAATGTTAACGGTAAGGAATGAGACAAGATCATGCTCCATGGATGAAGACATGATTTTGTCAAATTCTTGTGGTGTTGACTTTGTTGTGTTTGAGTTAACTTGTTTAGACTAGTAGTTCTATCCTTGTGGTGAAAGCCTTACAATAATTCGAAGGGTTAGCCTAGTGGTAACTTAATTAGTTACCTGATAAACTTTTTATAAGGGAATCAGAGATTCGAATATTCTATAAAGTGTAGTCTGTTAGGGCTATTGCACAAGTTCTGGTATTTGTTTGGTACGTGAAAGAGGATGATCTACTAAAACAATTGAGATATAGAAAAAAAAAAAGCCTTACAGTTGAGCGGTAGTCCTTGGTTCGGTCCTCTCCCTCTTCCCCAGTAATGTAGCTCATCGATGCAATTAAAGAAAGGTTATTTTGTGTTAATTTTTTTGTAGTGCAGTGCTATGTCACAATTTGCTGGAAGATTTTTTTTTTTTTTTGGAATGGCTGATGGTTTTGAATCGTGATGCCCACACTACAATACTTTCACCGTTGCCACGAGTATAATTTGACAAGAGAGATTTATTTTGTTGATGTTGGAGGGTTGGATTTAACTTACTCAGAAAGAAAGATAACTACTGTAGAACTATTGAGGCTTGATCCCCAGTGGGCAAATTTTCAATGCATAAGACAAATCCTATTTAATAAAACTAGCAATGCAACATGAGAATTTTTGTTAAAATATTTGATAAAATATATACTAGTTAAATTATATATTATCTTATATTTATCATTCTTAAATTACTTGTATTGTGAATGAAGAGAAACTTACATATATTGATTTTTTGACATCAGAGGTAATATTGTATTAATAAAATTGTCGATGTATATAAATATTGGAGTTTTGCAAAAATAGAATAATATTTTTATATATCATGTTAAGAGTAACATGATTATTTTAAAAGTTTTGCGAAGATAGAGATTTACATGATGTGCTAGAAGTTAGTTTGTTATTTAAGTATAGATGGATATAATGGTAATCTGTATATTTAAAAATAAAATGACATGTTAGTCTTTATAATTTTTTATAAGGGTTAAATAGTGATTCAAAAAATTTTCGTATAAAATATTTTTATTAGTAATATAGATTATCCAAATTAGAAAGCACAATAAGAAGTGAACATCAACTAACTCTTGATTTTGATTAAGCTTATCAAGTTTAGGAGAAAATATTCATGGTAACAGTTATAACATATTAGTTTTGTCACGTAACGTAAACGTTCAATAATAATTCATCAAATAATCAAGTAAATTTCATTTTTTTAAATAATTATCCAATCACGTAAGATAATAATCACTACATGTAAAAGAAATAGAATTTATTTTTCATATATAATAAATTATTATTAAACAATTATACCAAGTAATAATACTAAGCTCCTTACACTGAATATTTATTCCAAGTGTAGATATGATGATTTGAATTTAACTTGAATTTCGATAAATGACTATCCATCAGCACTCCTAATGGAAAAGACGCAAACTACCAGTGTGAGCAATGGTATTTGCTTTCCTCGAAAAAAAAAAATGTTATTTACTTGATCAAAAAATAAAATAAAATAAATTGTGGGGCCTAATATTTATTGGGGTTTATAATTAATTCAATAATTATGATAAATTGGATTAGCAAGTTAAATTTAAAGATAAAATACACTTTTAGTCCCAAAATATACGTTTAGTGTTTATTTAATCTCTAATCTTATAATTGTGTCTGATTAATTCTTAAAGTTTCTAATTTACATCTAAGTTGTCTAATTTTAAATGTCCGTCACAAAATCGTGATGATCCTAATTCCGTACTAATTACGTGGTTCTTAATTTTGTATAAATTTAGTTTCTAAAATTTTTAATTTGTGTTTATTTGGTCTCACGTGATTGACATGTGACTAAGAGGAGTTTAACAATATTTTTATAGACGTTTGAGATTGGACTATATAGATACAAATTAGGAATTTTAGGATCAAATAGACACAATTAAAAAATTAAAGACCAAATAAATATTATACGCATACTTTAAGGACTAAAAATGTATTTTATCTTAAATTCAAATAACATTACTTGGGAGTAAATTGATATCCGCGATTGACGACAATGCCCTTACCGCCATACGTGACATATATATTCAAGTGCAGTACACAGATTGGAGTCCATGAAAGGACGAAGAAAAGCCAACAGCAACCTCTGACGCTGAAAATGAGTTCGCCTCCGGCTCTAAAGAAGCCCAAGATAGAGAGAGACGAAGAGTCCAACGGCGACGAGCTAGAAGAAGCATTGGTGGCTCTGATTGAGTACCGCACCAAAGAAGTCGAAAATCTCCGCTGCCTTTTGAACTACTACAAATCCGAGGTTGGAGCACTTCTGTCTTTTCGTTTGTTTCTTGGCAAAAAATCAGTGTTATTTCACAATTTTGAGGTTGGGCTATTACTTTGTGCAATATTATAGACGTTCTTGTGTTCTTGAGCAGTGTTGTTGTTCCTATGAATAAAATGTTACCTTGTGCAAGATTATACACGTTATTGCATTTCTGAGTGCTCTTTGTGTAGCTATCATTGAAATGTTACTTGTGCAAGATCATGTATGTTATTGGGTTCTTGAGCGTTGGTCTTGGTCACATTTCTGGCTTTTCGTTTGTTTGTTTGTTTTGGCTAAAAAAATCTGTTCGTTATTTGACCATTTTTTAGGTTGGGTTAGTACTTTGTGCAAGATTGTATGTGTTATTGTGTTTTTAAGTGTTGTGATTTGTATAACGATGAACACAATGGCCATGCAAGTAAGTGGTCATTCTCTTTTCATAATGTTTGTATCGGATTAGAATTTTAGACCCTTTGAATGCCTAAAAGTTGGTGAATTGTAAGTTTATACAGACTCTGGCGAATAAATTTTGGTTTTCATATTGCTGGATGGATGGAAATTGTGGAATAGAATGGAGTGACTGATATCAGTGTGTGTCCTTCATTCAGACCACTCGAAGCCTTGTCAGTGTTATCAGTTGTTAAGACGATCATATGGTGTTTGAGTAAAGAGATTGCTCGAGTTTGTACTTGACATATGTCTACATTGACTAACTTTGCTTACTTTTCTAATCTTGGCGCAGAAGCTAAAGATGTCTGCCTACAAAATTTGATTTCGAGTTGGTTTCTGATTTGCTGAGATGTAGGTACAAAAACTGGTGGCTTTTTAGGAAGATAATGAAATTGAGAAATGATTTTAAAGCTGATAAATTCCTTTAGGCAAGTGTAATTGAATGTTTTAAATGAGTTCAATAGATAGAGCCTTATAAATGGTAAGTGGATTGTCACAGTAGATTAAGACGACAAATGACAGTGACTAACGTTGAAAAATTGTCTTTACTGTGTTGAACAATTGTTCCCTGCATGTTAGTTAGAGTAAATTTGTCTTTGGGGGTTAGAAAGTTGAATTATTAATGGGTACTCGAAGGTCTAATCTTTTATGACGAGTAGTTTTGAAATGTGTATGCATATATAGATGCCTTGACCGTGATGAAACTATTTGAAATTGAGCTACACTTGCACGATGCTTCTGGCCCCTAAAAGTAAGTGAGGATATTCTATTGAGAAGGCCCTTAACATAACGGCCTAACTGCTCAAGCCAGTGATTGTCTCAAAGCCTCCATGACTAGGAGGGACCACCCTGGGGAGGGGGTCCCTTTGTCTCAAATATTCCGAATTTGGAAAAAGCCACTATGGACAAATTTTTGGAATTGGAAGTCGTGTGGAAAATGAATTTCTTTGTGACTGCTCTTTGAATTTTATCTTCCAAAAGTTAGGAGGGTTATGCTTGAACATATTTCCTACGAACTGGTCTTATTTGTTACTGTCGGCTGTTGTAATTTAGATTTGAATTTTGAGTGGGCTCCTCTGTCTAGAGACAAAGGGAAGCTTTATTTCAATTGTTGTTCTTTATATATCATGAGCAGTTGGAGATAGGAGGTACTACTGTAGATTATAATGGAAATAATATCCTCTATGGGACGTCATGGGTTCTAGAATCAATTCAGATATTCTAGGGCTATGCTAAGCTCTCTCGAAGTGCAACCTATGAGGTTGAATAGAACGGTACAGGGTAACAGGAGTGCTGTGGAGGTCCTTGGAACACCATGCTTGAGATTATGGTGTTGTGGATAGACTTAATAAAGCTTTTGGCACTTCTGCTTTCTCATTTTTGGCTCATAGCCTTGTCCCCTTTCTTTCTAATAAAGTAGTTTTTTTCAATTATTGTATATGTTAGAAAGAATGAATTATGGAGGATTTTATACTATATCTGAAGGAGCATATAGATATCCCCCTCTAAATTGTGTGTGAATGTTTTCATCCTGACTAGTGTATATATGTTGTTTAACGTTGCCTACTATCTGTTCTATTCATGGACGTCACTAGGCAGATGACCGTTGTGTTTGATTTTCTATCAAATTGGCCTGACAAATATTAGTGTGTTAGTTGTTAGTAATTATCAACATCTTTGTCTGGAAAATATAGCTAATCAGCCCTTTGGATGTGGAGTGTAGCTTGATCAAGCAGAAAGGAGGTTAGAGGATACACAATCTAAACTGGCTCAACATCAAGGCCGAGACAATGTAACATCCTCTAAAGGCTCTGTCGGGAATGGTATGAAAGAGGTGAAGGTCGAACAAACATCAACTACTCCTTTCCAAATTACTGAAGGTCCTTCTCCAGGCCATTCTCAATCTAGAACACAATTACTCCAAGGCCATATGAAGTCATCCAAAAACTCTCTGAAAGAGGGTGTGCAAGATGTAAAACTTGAGCAGAGGTCAAGTCGTACTACCCAGAACACTGAAGATTTTTCTCGAAACCATCCTCAGTCTAGTCCACAACTTGTGATTCCTGCTGTGAATCCAAGACTTTCCCAACCCAGGAAGATGACAAAATTCGGCCATAAAGCTAACAATGGTTCTGGTTCTCGACCTAGTACATCATTTCCCACTCCTGTCATAAAACTAGGAGGGGATAAATTTCAGCGAATCTTTTCTGAGGAGGAAGTTGTTGAAATTCAATCCGAAAGGGCAAAATGGAAATTTGGTAATGCTTCCACATTTCCACTTATTTGATGGGCTTTTGTGAGTTTTTATTTTTGGTTGAGATAAATTGTTCAGTCACAATTGCTTTCCAAATCACAGAGCAGAAAGACCACAGACAGTTGATTCCTTTCATATGTAGCTGCTCTTCACCCAGCACAATCTGTTGTCAGACGAGCTGTCTAATATCTAGTCAACACAAAAGAAAGTTGAGAAGCCTTGCCTTGTGTCCAACCAACAGTCAACTATTTGTGACGAGGTAGTTTGGCTTTTTCTGAGATTCTGAAGTGAGGAAATCGTAAATGAGGGCGTTTGTAATGTTTTTTGTGCTTCCTTAACTTTTAGTGTAACCTGGGATCCATTTGTAACTAATTCCCCCGTCCTCCTCCTCCCCTCCCCCTCCCCCTCCCCCAGGGGAAAATGTCGGAGCAATTTGGTTTAAGTTGGACTGTGGTGGCATGACTCGGAGTTGCAATTTGTAGGTCAAAGCTGTGGTATTTGTAAGTTTAACTCTGCCTAATTTTAGAGACTGGTTGGCAGATCTAATGTTTTTGAGAGCATGTTTTTCCATGATCTCTGTCTCACTCACTCCTATAGACGCACACATGTGGAGTAAAAAGAAAAATTGTAGAATTAATTCTGGTGTTTTGTCCTGTCCTTTTTCAAGATGAAGACAACTCTCCAGGGGTTCAAATGTTTTTACCTTTGAGTTGGCTATGTATTAACAGCTCAAAAAAAATAAAAAAGATTGGCTATGTATTAGCTTTCGGATACTGCTATAAATACATCTTTGGGTCAACATTGTACAGGTACACATTATTGATTTCCAGCATTGAGTGGTTTACAAAAGCATGTGCTCCTCTCACATGACTGCTTTGCCAATAGTGTGAGGGCGGGAGAAAATTTAGGAATTAGTTAATTTTTGCTGCTATTTGAGGAGTGTATGGTAAATAAATTGTCCGTAGGATGACACGGCCTATTTATGTCAAACTCTAGTTATGTTAAATCTTTCTTCTACAAAATAACACATTGTATACAAACTTGCTTTTGAGCAAATATATTTACCTAGCACATCTTTTATTGTTCCATTGTGTTCGATTTTAATTCACAAAACAAACTCTGACAACTCTTTTAGAATCTAAGTTGCATTTAATCTTTGCAGTGCTTTGGATGGAGTCATCAATTTGTGGCAAGTTCAGGCTAGAGGGTACGTGTTAGTTTTGTCTCAATCTGCATATGTGCATCAAATACATTATTCTTTTTTTCTCTTGCTGAAATATTGGAATTAATTGTAGTGTAAGAATGCTGCCAAATTGAATGATTAGGACCATCCAAGATTGATTTATATGGTTAAGGGACCTATCCCCTCATTGCAAATCGATTTTAAGATGGATGCTCTAACATGGTATCACTACTGAGTTTTGGGTGGTTAGCGTACCAAGTCTGTCACCTATTGAAATTTCCTAGTATGCATGTTTTTCTATTCGTTGGTTAGTTCCATGCGGAAGCCGGGTCAAGGTGTAAAGAGAGATTATATCCCACATTGAATAATTAGGATGACTTAAGGTTGGATTACATGGTTAAGGAGTATTTCCACTCGTTACCAATTGGTTTTGAGTTGGATGCTCTAATAGTACATATCAAGAAGAAAAATGTTAAGGTGCCATTGAAAAGAGATATAGCTATAGGGAGTCTCTAGTGAAAAATCACATTGTGTATCCAGCTTTTAGTTTATAGCCAAAACAAACATCATGTCATATATTTTAGTTTTAGTTATAGAATATACTTGTTTAAAATACTCCCACCGCACAGCACGAGGGTGCCTCGTTGCAAAAGAAAGAAAAAGAACCAAAAAACCAAACAAGAAAACACATTCCAAGGCTTCCCTTTGGGGCCACTTTATGCTTGTGTGCCTTAGAGGAATAAACACCTCCCAGTTTGCGAAAAACCCAAAATATACTCGGGCACGGGCACACTCAAACACACACACACTCAACTTCTCAAAGGTTTTTTTTTTTTTTTTGTTTTGTATCATTTTTTGTCATATAGACTTGCTGCTTATCCACCTCAATATCTGCAAAAAGCTATTAGACATTTTAAGGAACACATAGGAGAGCCACTTTAGGACAAACTACAATGTATGCCTTCAAAAACATTTTTAAAGATAACTTGGTGTTTTAGCATATGCAATTTAGTCAATAGCCTCCCTGCTTTGTGATATAGAGTGCTCATTAATGGTGTTTGTGCTTGTTATTTTTAAATCGCAGATCAAGTGCCAGGCTTATAAGTACCAGTGATTGTTTATCTCCACACAGGAGATGGCCAGAAGATATAGCCTGGCATCCACAGGGAAACAACTTATTTTCTGTTTACGGTGCTGATGATGGGGATTATCAAATATCAACCCTGAATCTAGATAAAGCAAAAGAGGTAGGGATCATGATTGAATAATTCATTTACTTGTGCTACTTATAAGATATATGTTTTACTGACAAATGTGTTTGTAGGCACTCTAGATGTTTCTATTGCCATTTGTTACATTTTTAGTGTAAATATTACTGTTGGAGTATAAGTCTAGTTTATTATGATTTTTTTTTCTTTTTTTACCCTTGCTGTGACTTTTATATTTTGTCTAGACCACAAGGATGTTTAGGTCACTTTGTATCATTATTTGGCTATATATACGGAACTCTACTCTTAGTTTGAGTATTCCTTTTTCACTCGCATCTATCTCAAGTTGGTATCAGAGCCACCGACCCTAACCCTAACCTCAAACGTCACAACCAGCGAAAGACACTGCCACCACTCCACCGCTACCTACCATTGCAATCTTACCCAGCAACTCCATTAAACCTCAATCACCGTCAGAAGCACAACCAGCCTACACCTAAATCATCATCCTGCAACTCCTCCAGCGACAAACCAGAACCCAGACCAGCATCTCAGTACTTTCCAACATCAAAACCACCGACCAGCATCAATCCAGCCAGCGACAGCAAGCTCACAACAATTCTGCCAGCATCCACACCTGTGAAACCAGCAACCACACTTGTGAAACCGACGACAACAAATACCCAGCTAGACATAACAATCCCACCGACATAACAAAAATACCCAGTAGCGAAACACCCAATCCCAAACCACCGACATAACAAATACCCAGCTAGACCAGCCCAGTAGCAAAACACCAAACTTTATCCGGCCCAACTTTACTCAGCCCATCCACCGACAGTCAAACTAGCAGCCAAACCCCACCGATTGTCCATTTTTTCAGCCCAGTCCATCAAACCAGCTCCACTGTGTCAAAGACATACCATACCCAGCAAACCCACTCCAGCGGTCCACTGCCCAACTTGAGTCACTGTTTAGTCCACTCATCAGACCACGGTCGGGTCACTTTTTTGTTATAGCTTCGTCCTTCGCACACTTCGTCACAATGTTGCCAGATTGCAGTATCTAGGACTTTTTTAGGAGGGAGTGGATCCTCTTCTCCGGTAATCTATTTTTGATGTAGTAGATCGCTTATTTATCTTTATTGAATTTTTTTATTGGATTTTTGGGCACCGTGACCTGATTATTTGGGAGATTCTAGATCTTGTCGCTACAGTTCGACTGAAGGTATATTGTTCTCTCTTATTTTGTCCTTCTATTTATCTTAGAGTTATTTTTCTGTCACGGGTGTCCTAGTATTGTTGATGGTTTGATTACTACTGCGGGAGTTGAGACCCTTACCGTTGAAAAATCTGTTAGTACTTCTACCGGGTATAGGGGTAGACAGCGCTCGGTCCAACGCCGTCAGGGTATCCCACATCAGCGTAGACATGAGGATTCTTGTCAGTGTGATTATTGTGACCGACTAGGACATCTTAGGACTGCTTGTTGGAAGCTCCATCCACAGCTTAAGCCGACTCCTCGCAGCCGTATTACTGCCATTGCTGAGGCGCCACCACCTACAGTCGTTGCTCCTGCTACTACCGTAATTGCTCCTCCTTGGCAGAGTGATATGGATGCTATCACTTCTCGCTTGGATATACTTATGTCAGCCCTGACTTCTCATAGTTCGACTACTACTGCTGCGACTACTACAGGTATACCTCGTACCTTTCATACTTGCGCCAGTCCGTTTCCCCTTTGGATGCTGAACTCGGGTGCGAATAGTCATATGACAGGTGAGGCCCATCATTTCACCTCTTTTGACGAGCAGTTACATACTCAAGTTTAGTTAGCAGAAGGTACACATGCCCCTATTGTTAGTAGGGGTACAGTCTGCCTCCCAGATGGCTTTACATTACATTTGGTGTTTCATGTGCCAAAGTTGACTATGAATCTATTATCTGTACATCAGTTAGCCAGAGATTTTCACTGTGCAGTTGTGTTTTTATCTGATTCGTGTTATTTGCAGGACCTGAGTACCAAGAGGATTATTATCAGGAGACATGAGAGAGATGAACTATATTATCTAGGCGATCTATCTCTGGTTTCACCAATTTCTCCACCTCCACTTCCATCACCTGTCTTGTCTTTATCTGTTCCTAGCTTACATGTTAGTATTTTACCTAGTACTTGTCGTTATGATTTTTCATCACAAACTGTTCAGTTGTGGCATGACCGTTTTGGACATACAAATTTTAAATATTTATGTATGTTATTTCCTACTTTGAGCAAAACTTGTGTTAGTGGTAAACTTGACTGTGTTATATGTTCTCTATCAAAATATATTCAGACCAGTTATATTCCTTGCATGCACCAGTCACCAAAACCATTTGACCTAATATACTCTGATATTTGGGAACCCTCTCCTGTTATTGCTCTGTCAGGTGTTCGATATTATGTGACATTTATAGATGACCATACCCGTTGTACTTGCGTCTACCTTTTGCATTGGAAGTCGGATGTACTCCCTGCCATCACTCAATTTTTTCAGATGATTAAGACACAATTCGATGTCATTGTTTGTGCTCTTTGTTCGGATAATGCCAAAGAATATGTGTCTGATGTCTTAGTGTCTCATCTTTCTTCTCAAGGTATCCTTCAGAAGCTCATTTGTCCATATACTCTTGAGCAAAATGGATTTGCTGAAAGAAAAAATAGGAGTCTGATAGGGATGGTACGTTATATTCTTAGAGGTATGGGGTACCAAAATCTTATTAGCATTTTGCTGTTTTGACTTCTACCTTTTTGTGTAATCGTACACCGAGTCGTGTTCTTTAGCATAGGGCTCCCTTACAAGTCTTATTCCCTGAGCGGACACTTTTTTCGGTCCCCCCTCGTGTTTTTGGCTGCACATGTTTTGTTCAGGATCGGTCTCCTACTCGCCATAAGCTTGATGATAAAGTAATTCGTTGTGTCTTTGTGGGCTATTGTTATCAGTCTAAGGGGTATCGGTATTATGATCTTGTCAGGCGACGTATGTATCACAGTCTAGATGTTACTTTCTTTGAGCATATTCCTTATTTTTCTTCCAGTCCTATGTCTGTCCTTCCAGTTGATGATATTCCCTTTGATTTTCCGTTACCATAGGAGCCAGAACCATTGGTCACTATCACTATTGAGTCATTAGTTTCTCCTCCTCCTAAGCCACTTATCCCTGTCAGTACAAAGTCACCAGTCTCTCTTCCTTTGCAGGTTTATGTTCGTCACTCTCGCTCTCATCCCCCTGCTGATGTCCCCTTTCCTCAGGCGATGCAAGTAATACTTCTCAGTTCGTTGAGCATATTGATGCACCTGTTGTTAGTACTGATGAGATTACAGGTACTGAGCCAGTTACTTTACCTGATGAGACATTGTCACTGGATGATGATGATTTAAGGCGTCGTTATCCGCGACGTGATCGCCGTCCAGTTGTTCGTTATGGTTGGACTGTAAGGACTTTATATCCGATCTCTGCTTATGTTTCTTATGATGATCTGTCTTCTACATTTCGAGCTTATAGTATGACCATATCAAATACGTCAGTTTTTCGCTCTGTTTCAGAGGCTATGTAGGAGCCCCAGTGGGTTATTGCCATGCAGACAGAGATGGACGCTCTTCAGCATAATCATACGTGGGATCTTGTTTCTTTACCTTCAGGGGTGAAGCCTGTTGGTTGTCGCTGGGTTTACACCCTGAAGTTTCTTGCAGATGATACTATTGATCGTCACAAGGCTAGGCTTGTGGCGAAAGGTTTTACTCAGGTACCAGGTCGTGATTTTGGTGCCACATTTGTCCCTGTGGCAAAATTAACTACTGTTCGATTGATTATTTCTCTGGCTGCGGAGTACTCTTGGTCTCTTCATCAGTTAGATATGAAGAATGTCTTTTTTCACGGTGATCTGGACGAGATTATTTATATGGATGCACCACCGGGTTTTCTTGGTGAGAGGGAGTATGCTGAAAATGTATGTCGACTGCGTAAGTCTCTTTATGAACTGAAACAGTCACCACGAGCCTGGTTCTCTCGCTTTAGTGATGTAGTCGTACGTTTGGGGTTCACCAGATATTATTCTGATCATACCTGCTTCATTCGATAGAATACTTCTGGACAGTGTGTCATCCTTTTGGTATATGTTGATGATATTATTATTACTGGGGATGATATTTCTGGGACTGCGCAGGTCAAGGTAGACCTTGGGAAGGCCTTCAATGTGAAAGATCTTGGATTTTTGCGATACTTTCTTGGGATTGAGGTTGCCCGTAGCAGCAGAGGTATTGTTCTTTCTCAAAGAAAATATGTCCTGGATTTTCTCTCAGACACTAAGATGCTGGGGTGCAAACCGGCATCATCACCCATAATTCTAAACCTAAAGCTTATTGTTGACGGTGAGGAATTGAGAGATCCGACTATCTATCAGAGGTTGGTAGGTAGACTTATCTATCTAGCCAACACTAGGCTAGACATTTCATTCGCTGTCAGCCGAGTTAGTCAGTTCATGCACAGGCACAGGCCGTGTCAGCCTCATCTTGATGCAGTTTATCATATTCTTTGGTACCTCAAGTCTTGTCCTGGACTTGGGTTGTTCTATGCATTAGGATCTCAGATTGATTCTCTAGCCTGTTATTCAGATTCCGATTACGGGGGAGCATGTGACGGTCGATCTATTGCGGGCTTCTGTGTTTTTTGAAGGACTCATTTTATCTCTTGGAAGAGCAAGAAGCAGACAGTTGTCTCTCGTTCGTTAGCAGAGGCAGAGTATCGGGCACTGGCGCTTGACACATGTGAGATTATCTGGCTACGATCTATTCTTGGCGAGTTGAGATTTCCAGTAACTTCTTCATCTATATTATATTGTGATAATCGATCTGTTATTCAGCTCGCTTCTAACTCTATATTACACGAGAGGATGAAGCATATAGAGATTGATGTTCATTTTTTTCGGGAGAAGGTTCGTTGTGGTATTGTCACTTCATTGTTTGTGGGGATCAGTGATCAGGTTGCGGATGTTTTCACCAAACCTGTCACTCTATCCATTCTCCGGGACTCGGTTGTCAAGTTTTGCTTAGTTGATATTTTTGCGCCTAACTTGAGGGGGAGTGTTGGAGTATAAGTCTAGTTTATTATGATTTTTTTCCCCTTTTTTACCCTTACTATGACTTTTGTATTTTGTCTAGACCACAAGGATGTTTAGGTCACTTTGTATTATTATTTGGTTATATATACAGGGCGCTGCTCTTAGTTTGAATATCCCTTTTTCACTCACATCTATCTCAAGTATTACTAATCTATATTTCATCAATCCACAGCTGGATTAAGACTCCTCTATTTATATCACTCTTGCCAGACATTTGGTTGATCAGATATCAGTAGTCATCTAACTATGAGTACATATTACTAATCTATATTTCATCAATCCACAGCTGGATTAAGACTCCTCTATTTATATCACTCTTGCCAGACATTTGGTTGATCAGATATCAGTAGTCATCTAACTATGAGTACATATTACTCCATACAAATGTTTGATCTAGCCTCAGATTTGGAAGTTGGAACAATGAAGGATGGGACACTTAAACCTTGAGATTTGATACTGATAATGGGCATTAGGACACATGATTTTGATGATGGGATCCTGTTATAAGGCTTCAAAAATATATTGAGGCCTGTGTTAGCAGCAAGTTTAACGCCAAGTGTACTACAATCCTGTTTGATCAGTATATATATAGCCCTCATGTATGATGTCTTACAAGTCATGAACATAATGATGTGTCTGGTTTCCACATGCCCTCACTTCCACATCTATGTCTATGCAACATGCATTCCGAAACATTACAGTAGCAGTCGAGTTGCCCACTTGGAAAGTTGTAAAGGGATCTTTGGCTATTTGTCCCATCTTTTCATGTCTGAAGATATATTTGGTAGTAAGTGTCAAATTTTGAATGCACCTACTACATCATCTACAGGGTTACCATAGTCTTCCTACAAAACTAATCTTCTAATGGACCATTAGACATAGAATGATGTTAAAGGTTAGATCATTTGAAATTATCCCTCAATGTTTAAAAAAAAAAAATTCTCTCTGTGAAAACATGTTGTCTTTACTGGAATGAGGTGTTCATCTTGAACCCCACCACCTTTTTTTTTCTCTTTCATGCCTCATACTAGTTGAGTTTTGCTGAATTCTGCAATAGAAGGAAAGTAGAAGACGAAGAAGTACACCTAGGAAGTAATTGAGAGCGTAACATTTGTCTGATGTTGTTTAAGTAATCTCATCACCATCCTCTCATTGTGTGTATTGTTGCATGTTTCTTTTTGTTCACTTTATCCTTTAAAAGAAAAGGAAAACTATAGTATTTGCTGGCAGTTCTATTTCTAGTAGTTATGTGATTTAGTTACACAAAGGTAAATCTGGATTAATTGACTACCTGTTTGCTTTGTTTATGGACTGTTTGCCATGTTGTGGAAATTCCTGCCAGGGACAGGCGTGGGTAATTCGGAAGATTGCTTGCTGCAGCCAAATGAGCCTCATGTTGTAAAAAACCATCACTTTGCAGTCAATAGCATCTTGATATCATGCATGCACTCATGAAATCACACTAAACACGTTTGACTCAGTTTAGATGTTATCTGGTCTAATTTTAGATGTTGATGCATCAACAGGGAACTCGTGTGAGTTTCTTAGAGGAGAAGCCTCACACTAAGGGTGTTATCAACAACATAATGTTCATGCCATGGGACGATGTGTGTTTTGTTACTGGTGGCAATGATCATGCTGTAATACTTTGGACAGAGAGAGACGGGGAGACCTGTTGGAAACCTAAAATGCTGCATAGTAATATGCATTCCTCAGCTGTAATGGGAGTCGCTGGGATGCAGCAGAAGCAGATTGTGATATCTGCTGGTACGGACAAGAGGATAATTGGATATGATTTACTTGCTGGAAGAGTGGATTACATGCATCACGTGGAAAGCAAATGCATGAGTATTCTACCTAATCCACATGACTTCAATCTCTTTATGGTTCAGACCGGGTAAGTCAGAATTTTCTTATCTCTTCAACCTATTTTCTCTTTTGTTGGACAATGAAGTATTGATTTTGCTACTAGAATACCTTGATCACTATATTTGCCCTTTGTTAGTATTTCCTACCTAAGATTTTACTAGTTGGATTCTGAAAAATGCGTTGATGCAGCAGCAGCACACCCACACGGAAGAGAATATTTAGGAGATAGAATATTAGGAAAAAAATACAGGAAAGAGACCTAGAGTTAAGATAATATTGAGGTCAATCCAAATATCCCCATAATTTGCCTCTAATTCCCAATTACTATAAGCATACTATCATAGATTTCCTTCGAAAGGTCCAGATATGGGAAAAAAAAAAATTTCCATTTGTATGTACAGTACCTTTGTTTTGTATATTTACTCTCGTTTTGCTGCTCAAATGTTTGGTAATGTCCTATATGCAGTACTCCAGAGAGGCAACTTCGATTGTTTGATATGAGGTTGAAACATGCAGAAGTCCATGCATTTGGTTGGAAGCAAGAAAGTAGTGAGTCACAGTCTGCTCTGATAAAGCAGGCTTGGTCTCCTGATGGTTTATATATAACATCTGGCTCAGCGGATCCTGTGTTCCACTTATTTGATGTGAGGTACAATGCTCACGAGCCTTCACAATCAATAAGAGCTCATAACAATCGAGTCTTTAAAGCTGCGTGGCACTATGCTCGTCCCCTTATCATCTCCATATCCTCCGACTTGAACATTGGATTGCACAATATCACATAAAGTTCTATCGAAGCAGTAATCATGCCCTGCGTTTTTGCTCCTCATTTTGTCCCAATGTTCAGGGAACTTTGTATCTTGCCTTGCTGCTTAAGAGGCTTTTTTGGATTGAACACAAGATATATTATTCACTAAAATCTGGTTTCTGATAATTAATTACATAATATTCAACCTTATTTATAGGGATAAAATAGGATAATCCAAACTTATTTTATATAGGATTCTCACATTGATTATCCAACAAACTCTCATACTCTCATTCATGATAACTAGGAAGTTTGAGTCAAATTTCAACAACTTCTTTTGAACAAAATTCTTCAATTTTGGTCATGCTTAATATCAAGCTTATCGTCCTTAATTCTGATTCACCAATTTTTTTAAGCACTATGCGCAAACCTGATCTTTAGAATCACCACAATCTTTGCTGTCTTTCAAGAGTGTGCGTCTTAGCTTACATCATCTGTGCATCTCTGTCCATCTCTTACTTGCTCTTGGGAGGTTTCAATGGTCAACACTTTACCATTTAGATGTAAAGCCCATTAACTTGCAACCCGCAAGATACCATATCATCATTATTGGGTGTATGTTAGCCAAATAGCTTACAAACCATTGAAATACTGCGACTTCAACTCTAAGAGCAAAAAAAAATTGAAGAAACACCTTCAACAAAGCACGTGTGGTAATTCTTGAAATCCAAACAATCAGGAAGCAACTTAGTTTTCCGTTTGATTTCATACTAACTTAAATTTTTTTTTTTTTTTTTTGTGAATCTAAATATGAATTGTACATACGTGGCAAGAGAGTATTCTTCAACATGAACACCAACTTGATCATTGAATCGCTAATAACTTATTTTGATTGTTTCACTAGGATCATCAATTTGCTTTGATTGTTGGTTTTGCACAGTGGATAATTAACACAAATAATACTTGTTGAAAAATAGAAATTCAAAGATAAGAAACAATAAAAATATGACACAAAGATATAAGGTGGTTCAATACAACATACTCACCTTGGTATACCGTATTTACATCCACGGATCAAGAATTTATATCGATGTATTATTTATTGAAAAATTTGTCATCTAGTAACTGATTACATAATATTCAACTCTATTTATAGAGATAAAATACTGTAACTCAAACTTATTTAGATGCAACTTAATTTTTATTTTTCTTATCACATGTCTAATATACCTATTTATGGTATATTAAAACTCTTCCAATATAATTTTATTTCATATAGGATTCTCATATTGATTATCCAATAAACTTTCATTCATGATAACTAGGGAGTTTGAGTAAAATTCCAACAAGTGTTAATTATCATATTAGATGCATGTTGAAATCTAAAAATATGCCAAAAATTTTTTTGGGCAGAAGCTATTGTTTGTGCTGTTTATGTTTTGAACAGGTCCCTTACCAGAAGTTTTAAGAGAAAAACTCCTTATGAGACTTGAGTAGTCAGAAGCTAGGTATTCAGCATTTGAGGGTGTTTGGTTGTATTGCCTATGCCCATGTTCCTGTTTCACTCAGGAAAAAACTTGAGGACAAGGCTGAAAAATATATTTTTATTGGGTACAGTTCAATTACAAAGGGGTACAAGTTTTATAATCCCATAATAGAAAAAATAATTATTAGTAGAGATGTCATTTTTTATGAGCAAGGTGTTTGGGATTGGTCCCAAAAAGAAGACAAGTCAGCCAAATTTGTTGCTTTTGATGTTGATGATGCAGTTGGTGATTAGTCAATTGAACAGTCTCCAGTTGTTCAGTCCCTGCAACCAGAGTTATCTAGGCGTTCACAGCGTGAACGACACATGTTAGCTAGATTGGAGGATTATGTTATTGGCACTGACAGTGATCATTTAGATAAAGATTTGATAAATTTTGCTTTATATGCAAATTGTGAACCTTTTTTTTTAGTGATGTCTGTAGGGAGAAAAATTGGGTGAAAGCAATGGATGAAGAAATTAATGTCATTGAGCAAAATAATATATGAGAGCTTATTTCTCTTCCCAAGGGAAAGAAAGCTATTAGAGTTAAATGGGTGTATAAGATCAAATAGAAGCCAAACCGGGAGGTGGATCACTTCAAAGCAAGGTTAGTAGCCAAAGGTTATAAACAAAAACCAGGTATTGATTATCTTAAGGTTTTTTCTCCTGTTGCTAGGCTTGATAATGTCTGTATACTTATTTCTCTTGTTGCTAATAATTCTTGGAAGATTTTTTAAATGGATGTGAAATCTGCTTTCTTGAATGGTGTCCTAGAGGGGGAAGTTTATGTTGAGCAACCTGCTGATTATGTGAATAAAGAGGAGGAAAACAAAGTCTATAAGTTGAAAAAGGCTTTGTATGAGCTTAAACAAGCCTTTAGAGCTTGGTACACCAGGATTGATTCTTATTTTATGGAGAATGATTTTCAGAGATGTCTCTATGAATACACTTTATATGTCAAAACTAATTCTCAGCGTGATATTATTATTGTGTGTTTGTAGGTGGATGATCTTATTTTTTACGGGGAATAATTTGAAGTTAATTGAGAAATTTAGGGAGATAATGATTTCTCAATTTAAGAGGACTGATATGGGTTTGATGTCCTATTTTCTTGGGATTGAGGTTAATTAGATAGACAATGAAATTTTTATTTCTCAACAGAAGTATGCTAAGAATATCCTTAAACGGTTGAGAATGAATTCTTGTAATCCTATTTTGACTTCAGTTGATGAAAGACTGAAATTGTGTAAAGATGGGAATGGTGAGTTGGTGAATCCCACATATTTCAAATGGTTCGTGGGAACTATACGTTATTTGACTTTCACTAGACTTGATATTGTTTTTGGAGTTGGTCTTATCAACAGATATATGGAGTCTCCACATCAATCCCACTTACAAACAACTAAAAGGATTTTGAGATATGTTAAAGGTACCCAAAGGGATAATATTTTTTATTCTCCTATTGGTTCTTGTGAACTTGTAGGGTATATAGACAGTGCTTGGGGTGGTGATGTGGAAAAGTAAAAAATAATTAAGGATATTGTTTTCAAATTGGTTCAGGAATTTTTCCTGGTCTTCAAAAAAATAACTAGTTGTTGCTCTGATATCACTTGTTGAAATATAACTCTGATACCACTTGTTAGAACGTAGCTCTGATACCACTTGTTGAAACATAGCTTTGATACCACTTGTTGATTTTGCACAACGAATAATTAACATAAATAATACTTGTTGGAAGATAGGAATTTAAAGATAGAAAAACAATAAACACATGACACAAAGATATAACGTGGTTCGATACAACATACCTAATTGGTACATTGTACCTACATCCACGACAAGAATTTACATCGATATATTATTCACTGAAATTTGGTCATCTGATAACTGATTATATAATACTCAACTCTATTTATAGGGATAAAATAGGATAACCCAAACCTATTTAAATACAACTTGATATTTATTTTTCCTATCACATGTCTAACATACTTATTTATGGTATATTAAAACTCTTCTAATATAATCTTATTTCATATAAAATTCTTACATTGATTATCCAACAAACTCTCATTCATAATAACTAGGAAGTTTGGGTCAAATTCCAACAGTATCTCCCAAATATACTCGACTCGATTTTATTCTATAGTAATATATACATGAACATTTTTTGGTGTTTCTTTTACAAATTCCACCATTGGATATAGGAAATTTTGGCCTGATGTTTTGTAAGGTAGACTTGAGTTGTAAAATGGCAGTAATGCAGTCTGCTTCTGGAAAGGACGGCAACGTAGCATCTAAGATGCAGTTTGAAAGGCCTAACAAGTTTCTGCGGTGGTTGTATAAGCTGTGTACAATCTAGTAGGGTTCAGCTTGAAAGTCTCATTTTCAATCCATCTGGTAGATGTGCGAGAGAACATCTTATAGGCTTAGCTTCTGCTGGGAAAAGGATTTAATTTCTGTTCAGAACAGGCTGACAATCTTTGAGGAAAATGTTCTAATTTGATGCTGGTGTGTTGTGAAATTCATCATAGACTTCAAAGTCTCTTTGGGTTTAGATGATTTTGAGATTAATACCATTCTCTTACCGATTGCGAAGTCATGAAGAAAGTTATTTTTTGTTTTCGTTGTGGAGTGTCTAGAAAATGAGTCAAGCTCGAGTCAAGTTTTACCCGATACAAGTCCGAATAATTCGGCTCATTTATTAGCCCTATTTGAAGGTCTCCAATCTCATGGAGAAATGCAGCGAGGTGTGAAAGTGAAGTTTGAGATATCTCTTGCAGCACGTATTGACATCCCTACTAAATGCTTGGATTACGAGTAAGGGAACAATTAGGAAACTTCCTAACATAGTCAAGTAAAACTACCATTTTGTAATTCTTTTCCTCTTTTAGACTAAATTTTTTAAAATAAAAAATAATTTCGTCAATAAGTAATTGTAGTTATTATTTGGCAAAAATGATTGAGATGACACAAATGAAGTAATTATATACGTGCGTAAGTATACGACTATAAATGTAATTAATGTTGGAGAAATTGTCAAATTCAGAGGAAGAAAATGAAATACGAACAATCGCATGGGTCGTAATAGATCGACTTTCATGCTAGTTCTTACTCTAGCATGAAAGTTCCATTTCCGGGAAAGATGGCATACTATGATACTTTTTATTTTGTCGAGCCTAGCTTTGATTTTTGGTTTGATGATTGTACGTGTTAAAAATCCAATATATTTTGTTTTGTTTCCCATCATCCCATTGTGACTTCTTTCTTCTCTCAAATGTGATCAAACAAAAATTGTATTTTTGTAATTGATCATGACTTGTGAAATGATAACTTAGGCCCTAAGGTACCTTTGGTATGATTTTGTGAAATTTAAAAAATATTTCTTAGATAAATAGTCAAAATACTTTCATTAAATAAGAACTGTTTGGTTGTTTATCGAACTAAAAAAACACTTAAATATGAAGCACTTTATTTTTAAAAAAACTTTGGATGATCAATGAAAAAAATACTTCTTTCTTATGATAAACACCAAGGATAGAATACGTATAAGTTTCCCCAGCAAAGTTTGTACTGTGATTTATAGACAGAAGCAATGGAATCAAAGTCACATCTTTTAGACCCATGGGTTTATCCGAGATGGTTAACTCCACTTTAAGGGAGTTGAGGTCACCAATTCGAATCTGTTGTGAAGCAGTTATAATAGTAATTATAGAAAATTTGAAAAAAAAAAAGTCACACCTTTTGTGTGAGTGTCAATACTGACAAGGTTAAACAAAATCCAAAAAATGACACAATCAATTGAAGTGAATGATAAATTGGTTAAGGTTAAACAAACATGATTAATTGATATTGTAAGCAGAAAATAAGTATTTTATATTTTTTTTAAATTTCTTTACATAGTATCCTTTGAATTGTTTTAAATTAAATAATTTTTATTGACAAGAATATTGACATGAACTAAAAATAATACGACCGAAAAAAATAATAAGATCAAACACTCGGCGAAACTATTGACACCCTTGCATTAAACCATATTTTCATCATGAAATTGAATACAATTCTATTTTTTAGTTTTTTAATTTTAGGGTTGGTTTAGTGGTTGAGCTTGACCTTTGATAGCGTAGAGATCTAAGGTTCAATTTCTTCTCACACCCTCTAAGGACTAGCACCCTTGTCCTTTTAGGGATATGTTTTAACTCAATTAAAACTACGGTGACACCTGTTGAATTTGAGAGAATAGTCGACTCAAGTTTGGATACTCCGTAACAAAAAATAAAATAAAATAAAATAACTCTAATTTTTTTGTCATTTTCAAAGGATGTATCGTGTATGTGACCACTCAACCTTGACTATATCCTAGACCAAAAATACAAAATTCAAAAATTTAAACTTCTTCAATATTCCATTTAATAAGTTTGACCATTGACCAACATTTGTTCTCTTGACCAACATTTGTTCATTAACAAACCCTACTTATTCCTTTCTCTTCCTTCCCCTCTTCCTGATCTCAATATCTCCCCATCCTTTCACTCAAAAATCTTATTTTTGCTCTTTGTTCTTACTCCATATATATCTTCCTTCATTGATTTGGCCACCACCATCAATCCAACACCATATCACAAGGTTATCAAAGCTTATACAGTGGATCGAAGACATGGGAAGAGGCCCTTTCCACTCGATGAATCGGAGGAAAAAAAGGAAGAACAGATCTTCCCTATCTACTCGGCTCGGTCGCAACAAGACATGTCTGCTATGGTCTCAGCTCTCTCTCAAGTTATTGGAAACAATAACAATAATCCAGCTTCTGTGCATGGTGACCCATTAATCATACCTCAATCCGACACTGCAGAACAAAACCAATCTCAATCCGTTCAAGAACAAGGTATAAATCAAGTTACTAAGTATTGTTGTTAAAGGGTTTTTGGGGTTAAACAATATTTCCTATATTACAATATTTCATAATCTCCACTTTAGATGAAAACTGTATCAACAGCCCAAAGATTGGTATTTTGGTACAAAATAGTCATGTTTTTCTCTATCTTTATCTTCATTTTTGCTTTATTTTGACATTGTTTCCTTTATTCTATGTTGCATTTAGCTAAATGCAATCTTCATCTTTAGCTGTTCTTGGAACCCCAATGCTATATGCCCTCTTTGGCATGCAAACTCTCTCTCTCTCTCTCTCCCTCTCCTTTGCATAATCCGATTGTCTGACTACTAATATTATATGGACTTCAAGTGAAACCGAGGGGAAGACACTATAGAGGAGTGAGGCAGAGACCATGGGGCAAGTGGGCTGCTGAAATAAGAGATCCAAAGAAGGCAGCAAGAGTCTGGCTCGGCACTTTTAACACCGCCGAGGCTGCGGCACTCGCATATGATGAGGCAGCCCTTAGATTCAAAGGAAACAAAGCAAAGCTCAACTTTCCCGAAAGAGTTCAAGGGATAAACGAGTTAGGTTACCTGACAACTCGTCATCATCAAGACTTGAGCATCGTCGTAGCCGAACAAGTACCTGACCCGGTTGTCCCTCCTCCTCGACCTCCACCGCAAGGAACTTATCCCAATCTTTTTAACTATGCACAACTTCTTCATGGAGGAGGCGGCGGCGAATTAAGCTATGGCTTCTCTAGTGTCTACCCTAGTAGAACAAATGCTTTTCAATCTTCATCATCGACAACTTCGTCAACAGAATCTCAGCAGCAGCAACAACAAGATTATATCAGATATCAATCACAATTTGGAAGCTCATCTAGTGTTGATCCTCCAAGGAATTGGGAAGAATCGGATACGAGTACTCCAGATTAGGGTATGCACTATGCAAGTTCACTTGAGGAGAGAGAGACCTTTAAAGATGCACTTGTGGAGAAATAATCTCATATTTATAGTAAGTCCTTTTTTATCCCCGGCTTATATTTAAACTGCTCTGATCTTTTAAAGTGAGATTAGGGTGTTGAAGAAGGGTTGATTTATTAAGTAAAAATATGTATAACATGATGCAATAATTTCCTTCCTTGTTCAAACTATACCCTTGCTTTGTTGTCCATATACTCATCCCAAGTTTGCCAATACAACATTAAATCTGGAGTTTGATTTGAAGCAATCTAGATATCGAAAGACTCTCGTATTCTATATGAACAATGTTATTTAGACCTAATTTATTGATTAATATTTGCTAATCTAATCTACCATAATTTTTGGATTGATCATGAATCCTATTAGACATTAGAACTTGAAGTTATTTTAACAGTTACAATGCAACCATATCATTAATTAGGTTAGCAAAATGATCAGATTTTTAGTTCTAAATAACATTACCCATTCTGCGTAGAACCTAAAAATCTAAATTAGGTCATCAGCGAAGCTTCAAGCATCATCAATCCAATTGATCATGATGTGAAACTACTTTTAGAATCTCAATTCTCATGGATGCCTCACTGTCAATTTTCCATCTTAACTCTTATTTTTGGATGGATCTCATGCTTCTGTCTATAGTATAGGCACATATATTCACACATACTATTATACATCTTTTACTGTTACATAAGGGAGAAAAGAGAGTTTGGTGTCAAGATTAGAAATACATACAATATTCCTCCTTTCTAATTTTGCAATTTAACCACCCATAACTACTTAATCACCCGTAACTTTCTTACCCAAATACACTAAATCGTCTATATTTCTATATAAGTTATCTTTTTTTTTGTTTTTTTGTAATCCCTTCTCATTCTTGTTCTATCGCACTCCTTCGGAATCATGCACCCGGGTGTCATACCTGTGTGCATGATTACGAAAGGTGTCATGTGTGACAGTCTTCGACATGAACCTTAGCAGCTGCAGATGCAAAGAGGGTTGGCTTGGTGTAGTTTTAAGAAGCAACATAGAGGTAGATAAAACGCCACAGCTAAGGTAGGTAGTAGGTACTATATATACTAGAAGAAGTTGCTCCCTCTATCAAATATGAGGACCAAGTAGTGTAGATCTAGCTAGTTTCCAATTTATTTGCAGATGTTGTTTACTTCACCCAAAAATACCACATGAAAGTTGAGGGACTAAATCTTGGAGACTACGCCACTCACGAATTAGATATTTTTAGAATCTCTTTATTTATTAGGTATAAGTGTGACACATTTCATTTATAAAATTTTATCTCAAAGTTTGGTGAGACTAACTAGAACCCTTTACATTAGAGTAATCTTATTGAGATCAAAAACACTGACCTAATTTGTTGATCTAATGATGTGCTTTAGTGGTATTGTTGTAACTGTAATTCTTGAACTTCTTCATAAGGACTATCATTTGATATATCATTATGTCAACAAATTAGAGATATTAGTTTTTATATTCCAATAACATTGCTCTTTATATTATGTCGAGATTAATATTTAAATGTAGACTTTTTGACAAATATAATGGCAGTTTGAACTCAAAAAAGGATATCTGAATTGCATAAAAATGATAGAACCAAAACTAGATAAAGATGAAGGCGTGGACAATTAAAATACCAATGTATAGAAACTGTGGAATATCCAAAAGGCATTTCAGAAATCATGGGCTATACAGATTATTTCAGAAGAACTCTAGTACTCTACACTTATCCAGGGAGAAAAGGGGGTAAGACAACTTTTTTCTAATGAAGTTCCTAAAACTAATAAAGATTGATGAAAATTAGGGTAAAATGATAAAAATTTTGCATGGAAGGAATAGGTAAAGTTTATGAGTCACATGACATAAGGCAATTTCAACAAGGTATTGAGCATCTATGTCCCTTCTATTTTTATTAATTTGCTTCCGGTGGTGATTGAATGAGAATAGATAAGAGGTTTGCGGGGTTGACGTGAGGGGACAAAGATGGCTAAATTTCTAGGAGTAAACTCCAGATCAATATGAAACGCATGCATACATATTAGGCCTTGCAATAAAAGATAATTCTGAATCCTCTTTGTCTATGAACGAAGAAGTTATATATATAAAATGCAAGTATGAATCTCATGGAAAGTTCGACCCTGGTTCACGATGAACATAGTCATGATATGTGCTTATTAGAAAAATATTCAAAAAAGGTTAGCCTAGTTAAGTTAAGGGATGTGTGATAAACCACATTAAACTACCTAGACACTACCCTTTCAGCTCTCAGCCATTCGGTTGTTGAAGTCTGCATTGCTTTCGCTGGGTAAACTTTCTTCTGTGCTCGGTTCTCATGGTGAAAGTACTCTTCAATGGTCCTTTTCTGAGGAAGACCCTCTTAAGACACTAAATTATGCTTTCTAACCTTGCCCAGTGAAATGGTAGATACTAAAGCGTAAACTGCTCGTTTTTATTTTCCCACCAATATAGCATGATGAGACAAAACTAATCACTTTCCTTGTAGCACCAAGCTGATCAATTAGGAGACATTGCACATATCAGACGTATTCTTCTGCAATCTGCATGATTTCCAAACCAAAAAAAAAAAAAAAATCAGAAGCAAATTCAAATCTGAGAGACAAGAAAAAAAGAAAAGGTATACTTGCTTCACAAGCAACTTCTTACACCTTTTGAGACTCCCAAAGCCGATGACAAGCATCAATCCAAAGCATCTAGTATTGATTATATGTTAATTTTGTATAAGAACTAGTTGATGCCATTGCAGACTATAGATTTGTAATCAGCTATATAACACGCACACAGACACATGTATACAAGTGTGAAAATCTGTAGGTTGTTGCATAGTGTAGGAACCAGAAGGTCGTGGAATTCGGCTGGTGGTTGACGGACAAAGTAAACTTCGTACCAAAGGCCAAAACAATGTGAACCTTCCAGTGGGGCTTTTTTGGTTCGAACACGTTATGTCTCTTTTTTTTTGCTTTTCGGACGATAGTTCGAACACGTTATGTCTGATGGATGATGTCTTTTTCTTTTACTTGATTATGGCTTTGACTGTGGCTCCTAACTTACTATTTTATATGCAAAAACGTTGGAGTCACTTGCCCACAGTGCACCTTATTATGAGCGAGTCTTTTCTCATCTTTATCAGTGTCCGAAGAGGTATATGTTTAGGGATAAGTCAATGTCTCAACCACCCCCTCGCCCACCCAAAGCAATTTTTATTCTCACACCAAAAATTGATTATGATTTGAATTATTTGTAGTTATTGATCGTAAAAATAAATAATAGTAGATTAATATGAATTTATATGTGTCAATTTATGATTAGTCAAAAAGAGAGTATGATGGTATGATAATATTCGACAATGAGCAATTGTATAGGGACTTAATTCAATGTATCCGTTGTATTAATTGTAAGTTTTAATGTTATGTGAAATTCACTTTCAATTTAGAATAATGCTACATTGATCAAATTTAGAGCCCAAATGACATGACAGTTGATTATTTGAAGTTTTTATTGGGATCCAAATGACATGACATCAATCAAAGAAAATCCAAGTCAATTGTCATGTCATTTGGGCTTCAAATTAGTCTCAAAAATTTTGATTAGTCTAATATTACTGTTCAATTTAATAATTACATTAAATTAAAGTCTCAGATTAAATCCTCAAGTAAAGTTAAAATTTAACAGTTTCCAAATTTTTAAAGTCTAAGGATGTTTTTCAGGGGTTAGAACTTTAAAAAATAGAGGGGGCAAGCCAAAGGTGTCCCCACTCTAAAAGAAGACTTTAATTAAAGATGTTTATTGTAGGTGGATGGTTAAGTAGGTTCACATACATCACTTTCGGAGGGACCCAAGAGGAATGTGTAAATAATGGAGGTGGAGAAAAGAGAGAAGAGTTGACGGAGAGAGACGTTGCCTCCTTAAGGCTTAGAGCCTAATGTTTCATTTTATACGATAGAAAAATAAAATGTTTAAAAATTAAAGGAATAGATAAAATATTATATTTAGTAAAGAAAAAAAAAAATGGATGGATGAATTTTGCTTCTAACTTACCAAAATTAATACATTTAAAATCAGAAGAAAGTGGGTGAAAAATTAATTATTTGTGATGAAATGTATCTTATTTGTCCATTTATCATTTGATATATATATATATTATGTATACATTAATTTCAATATATAAATGTAATGATAAAATATGTATTTATAGTTTTTTTAAAAAATTTTAAAATTAAAATAAAAAAAATATATTTTTTCCATCTTACCAAGTACAAAAAAAAAAATTAATCATTTTTATTTTTCATCTATCATACCAAACACAAAAGATGAAAAATATATCATTCTTATTTTCATTATTTTTCGAATGATAGAAAATATATCTCTCATATTTTTTTATCTTTTCTACCAAACAAAACATAAGGGTCTTCATCTATTCAATTCTCTATATTTTTCTTCTTCTTATGAGAATATAAAGGTATTTATAAATAAAGGTCACACATGTGGATCAGGCACATGTGATGCAAGCACATAAATCGGTGACAAATGTTTTAAATATTAATTGAGCAATATTATATGTACTTAAAAAATAGACTTGATAATTTCGATTATTGATTTCACTGTGGATCGTAGCATTTGTTAGAACTCATTACCTATTCAATGATTGAGATTATCAAATCTATTTTTTAAATTATATAACATTACTCATATTAATTAAATAGTAGAACACAGCACACCCTGTCGCACTCAATACCTTTACCTTTGTCTCGAAATTTTGACATATATCCCTATTTTTCTTTTCTCGTTCTTTCATTAGATTATACCCGTTTAGTTAAAGAAACATATCCGCAGACCCCAATTAGAGTGGGATTCATATGGTGACCCGAGCACGTGTTTGATATGGCGATGCCATGGATCCTACGTGGCATCTTTACTGAGTTAAAACTCCCTCCTCTTGATCCACCAAATCACAATCTCCTCAACCTATTGACGTGGCG